TCTTTAAATGTTTTAATTTGAACCATTATAATCAGGCATTTTAATGATGAAAGGATAGATTTACCACATACCAATTTGGGGGGTGGGAGAGTGGGGGTGGTCAGAAAGTCCAATTCGTATAGGACTTTAGGGGGTGTTTTTTTGGGAAAAAAATCAATGCACACGGTTGTGGTGTGGGGTTTTTTTGTTCTTTATTAAAGGAAAATAAATCTGGAGGGAAATCAAAAATTACAAATAATAAAAACCAACCCAGATCGTATATTATAGCAGCCATTTAAAACTGTACAAATCCACTGTGCTGGGGACGAGGGAACCCTCGTTACGAAACAAGCCTCTAAGATCAGGTTTTTCTCCCTCCCCCAAATATACACGCTTCTAAATTATTGCATTACTGTTTAAAAAAGAACGAAAGAGAGAAAGAATCACCGCTCCAAAGACCTAGGTATAAAAACCTCACCCTCAGGTTTTGCCCCAGGGAAACTGAACGGGGCAGGCTGGGTGGGGGGCATCCAAAACAAGGGAGCGTTTTCAAGACATCAAGTTTTGACAACCAGGTTCCAACAAAATGCCGTCCGTCTTGCCCTGACGGACGCAGCGGTGCCTGCTACCAAACGCTTGATCTCTAAACAAATGACCCAGATTGGGTTTTCATGTACCCAGAAGGTAGAACCGGGCGGTTTATTTTGCTATTGCGACTTGAGGCCTGAAGATGCCTACTCCTTTTTTGCTCTCCGTAAATCTGAGCGGGTAGTTGGCAACCTGCGGACCCCTTCACAAGACGATTACCGGTCTGAATCACTTTATGCAACCTTCAAGAGAGGGAGAAGCAAAGCGAGAAACTCATCTGAGCCCAGAAGCTGGATAAAAGGGACAAAAACAAGGCAGGAGTTTTTTCCCCATCTCGGCCAAATGACATTTCAAAGATCTGCCACACCTTTGGCCCACCAGATGTTCCCGAACTCCCGTTAGTCTTAGTGAGGATGGCCTGGGATGATGTAAATTGTACTCCAGCAACTTTTGGATGGTCAAACTGTCTCCACACCTGATCTACAATGTAATGGCTAAATTTGACAACACCGGAGGTTGATTTCAAGGCTGTGTATTGCTCCAGCTGCTGGTGGACACTGCAGATCAACTCATTCCACCCAATTCCTGACGCCCAGCGACTTCCGCAGTCCGAAGCCATGTTGAGGGTTGTGGGGAACAAGCAAGACATTATCCCCACTCTGATTTGCCATGACTATAGCTCAAAGACATGGACGGTGTCAACGAAATATAAACAGAAGCTCTCCAGAGAGAAAGATTTGAGGAAACATCGGTTCGAAGACATTTGCATGAGAATACTTCCAAAACAAAAAACCCACCAGCTGGGAATGGAATCTGTAGCTCGAAAACGTGTCATAAGTCAAACAGGAAGTGGAAAACATGAGCACAACGGCTCAGCGGCCTCTTTCTTCAAGACCCACCGAGCTTGTGCAACCGGTCAATGTTCTGGCAAAGCTGATGTCTTGCTGCATTTGGGGGCAGGTGGAGGGAGGAATGAGCAGGAAAAAAATACAGGGAAGCCAGCAGCCGAGATATTGGTCGAACAGTAGAGGGGGAGAGGGGGAACGATCTTCCACAAATAAGATGGTCGCTCTGCTTTTGATGCTCGCTGCAATGCAGTCGAGTTTCTTGAGGACTAGATGCCTTGTGTGTTTTCGGCAACACACCCAGTAAAACCTCTTGGATGTTTCTGCAACCACTGCAGCAAAGAAGCTAAGATCTCCCCTCTGATCCACGGTGTATTTGGAAGACTTGTGCCGGCAGAAGGGATGAGCCTCCAGAGACTGCCAAATTAGTTGTGGGCAAGGTGGTGCCAGCCAGGGGTGGTGGATACGATCCTGCCTCACTTTTTTTCCCTGCCGAAGGTGTAATTTCCCCTCCCCGCAAAATGCGCAGCCCTTTCAGCAGGGCTCGTTTCAGTGCAAAACAGGGTGGCCAGCCAGGAACCAGCACTTTAAAGTCGTGTTGAAATCTCTGTTTTTTAGCGCCATTGTACGGCACAGCGCCCGCTTTTGAGAGGGGGAGCCACTAGACAAGCAAAGATGGGACCTAGCAAGACCCTGATGCCAGCACATGTGTATGCAGAAGTATAAAAGGCAGAGGTGCGCATCATGCCTTTGATGGTGCCATTCCAAGCATGGCACACCCAAGTCGGTTCCCGCGTGAAACAAGTACATGAAGAGTGGGCCCTTCTCCTGGGACACTTCCATGATAAGGCACTTGGTGCAAGGCCTGGAGAGGTTAAATTGGGGCACCTGGGTACTGTTAAAGAGGGCGCAGGGAATTCTTTTGGCCCAGCAGACTAGCTCCGACATATGGGTGGGGAAATGCTCCTGTCAATTCCCCTGATGTCGGGCTTTGACAGGTGGGCAGTCACACCCAACCCATCAGAGCTGCTTGTGCAGTGCTTCCCAGGCGCCTGGCTGAGTTTGGGGAGCGCAAAGCCCTTTGTGATATCTGAACTTGGCCTTTCTCGAGGTCTGGCAAAAGCGCTTTCTGCAGGATGCGGCTGCGCAGTCCCGTTTGCCTCACGGGGAACGCAGCTGTGAAGTGTGGCGACTGAGCCTCCCCACCCCATAGATTGGCTGTGCAATCAAGTTCCCCCTACAAGGAGCTCTCCTGCGCAGCCGACCTCGCCACATCGACATGCCCCACACCTGATGTCACAGGTGGTTGCGGTTCGGGGTGGAAACAGCCTCGGAGGCTAAACCGAGATCCACGCCAGGCCACATCTACATCTGGCCTGTGGGTCAGAGGTTCCCCACGCACTGTGTTAAGGGGACAGGGTGGAAAAAGCAGCCCTTACTAAGGTTGGATAACACAGCCATATTCTGCTGAGCGACACAGTTGCATCCTCCGACGCCCAGTCTTGTGGAAGCAGAGTTTTCCCAAGGAGAAGTCCACAAATCCCCAAATTGTCACGGAGGCGTTCTTCCACGGAGTTCGGTGCTCATGTTACTCCTTCGCCACGCCCCAACTGAAGACATGGCACAGCGATCGGCCCGGGAAGAAAAGGGGCAGAGGGCTGTGCATTTTGCAAACACGCCGACAGTCGCGCACGAAGGATTGCGTGCGGTGCCTCCGACAGAGCCAGTGGTTCCAGCGGGGGAAATATCGTACCCTCGGCTGTTAGGTAGCGTCTTAGCCAAGCGAGGGCTCCAAACGGCAACCAGAAAAAAGAGCTATTGCTGTTCTCTCATCTCCCCGACAGAGGAAACTGTCAGCATGGATCCGAGAAGAGTATCTTCAGAACTGGCTGTCCCGACAGGGTTGCGAGACCAGAGTCTGGCTTTGCTGTTGCTTTAGGAATCAGGAGCAGAAAACCCCACGGCCACGATGGGACATAGTTTATATACAAATAGGGAACGGGGACACATGGCTTCTCCAGATCTCGCCGGACTCCCAACATCTGTCATTTGGGGCTGATGGGAAGGTCCAGGAACATCTGGCTCCCACCCCTCATTCAGAAGACCACGGAGATTTCCCTCTCTTTAAAATTTCCATGCTGGAGACGGCAGATTTCATGCACTCATCAGCAGCCAAGAAGATCGTCTGAGACGGCCACCATCCAGCAGGGTCGGTCCTGGCCAAGGGCAACTGGAGTCCAGCAACATCATTTAGAAAGCCAAGGATTGGTGCCTCGCTGTTGGAAACTGGGAACGCGGTTCCCTCCAGATCTTATTGGCCTACAACTCCCATCAGCCCCAGCTGGGATGGCCAAGGGTCAGAGGTGACAAAGAGCTGTCTGCAGGGCGCCAAGTTGGCTACCATCACTTGATGGCCCCAGCCAGATCCCCTCTCCCTGCAAAATGAAAGGACCGACATTTTGGGAACGGTTCGGAACAGAGCCCCAGTTCTGCGAAATGGCAGCTGGTTACCCGGGATGGTAGTAACACAAGCTGGTTCTAATTTACGCTGCCCCAGTCAGCAAGAAGCTTAAAATGGAGGGAAGTCCTATTGACCTCGCCATCGTCGCTTCAATGGCTGCTTGCCCAATTTCTGCGTCAAGGCCGTCGCTCGTGTTGCCATCCCTGGGCCATCCCAGGCAAATCCCAAACGACGTTTCAGAATCCCGTTGCTGAAAGATTCATCTTCACTTCCTGGGCGAGACGGTTTCAGGTGACGCATTTAGGAGAGGTCGTCCGAGGACGTGAACGGGAAATTCCGGAAAGAGGAGCAGGGCAGATGTCCAAAGATGAAGCAGGGATCGGCTTCGAGGGTCTCGGTGGCGAGAAAAATCTATGAGCGGAGATAGCTGCCCAGCAGGAAAGTCACAAGTCATCTCTTCCCATCCCAAGCGCCTGGTCTTGAAGACTCAGTGGGAGGGTCAAGGGCACAGCAATCAGAATCAGTAGTTAAGGCCACCTGAGGATCTGTTTTCTGCAGACCCATATATACATGTACCGCAAAGGGGGGGGGGCGGCTCAAGGTCCCCACCTCCCCCCAGACACATTCCGCTATCTCCCCAGATCCCTCCATGAAACATTATTGCACATCCAAATTTGGAACACATGCAAAATTGACATACATACATAGGCCCTATATCTATATATATCTATATATATCTATGTACACATACATATGCAGAAAATTAAAATTTTGGTTTAGAAAAAGCAAAAAACTGGAAGATTCTATTTCTTAATCATTCACCAGTTGCCCTGAGAACCAGATCGAGGGGGGTTTAAAAAGAGAGAGAGAGAAAGTTCTAACTGTCATCATTTCCGTTTTACGACCGGCCTCTCGTTGCCCCATAGCAAGCAAAGAAAAAGAATAAACATAAAAATATATCCTTCACTTCGATAAAGAGATCTGTTTCCATCTTCAGGCACACAACATTTCAGAGAGGAGAATCTTCCGGCTGCTTCGCCAGGGACCGGCAACTTCGGACGGGTTTCGAAGTGTTTTAAAAGTTCAGGGGTTCCGACGGGATCCGCAAATGGGTCGGCCGGAAGATGCTAACAGGAGCTGGTCTGGAGGTTCCCTTCCGTCAGAAGCGAGGCGATGGAGGATGGGCCGTAGGCGCTGTCAAACTCCTCATCGGAGCTCAGGTGGTCGTCCTTCAGGGACGACTCGGCTGTGGACCGGGCTGCCTTGCGCCTGGTGGAGAAGGGAGAGAAAGGTCAGGGGGCAGATTCCCATTCCCTAAGAACCTGGGAATCGAGGTAGACTGCCTATGGGGCTGGAGGTTCCATAAGTACATCAAAGAGCCATGCACCTGGGCCAGGCCAAAGGGGGTCTATCTAGGCCAGCAACCTGTTCTTGCAGAGGCCAACCGGACGCCCCAAAGAGAATAATAATATTAATATTAATAATAATAATTTTTATTATTTATACCCCGCCCTTCCCGGTTCAAAAACTGGGCTCAGGGCAGCTACCAACAAATTTAAAACACTTAATTATAAAAGCAGCATAATATACAGTATAAAAACCATGAATAACAATAAAATTCAGAAATCAATTTAGGGGAAATCCATCTAATAAGCATTAGATAATCCCCAGGGCTAGCTGGCTGAATCGGTCCTACTTGGGCCAGCGAGGAGACCAGGGGAGAATTAGCTGTGGGGTCTCAGAGCAGGTGATCTTCATAAAAGGGGAGGGAAGAGAAGGGAAATAAGATCAGGCTGAATTCAAATTAAAGGCCAGGTGGAATAGCTCTGTCTTACAGGCCCGGTGGAAGGTTAAATCCTGCAGGGTCCTGGTCTCATGGGACAGAGCGTTCCACCAGGTCGGAACCATCACTGAGAAGGCCCTGGCCCTGGTGGAGGATAATCTGACTTCTTAGGGCCCGGGACCTCTAAGCTATGGTTCTTCATGGACCTTAAGGTCCTCTGCAGGGCAGACCAGGAGAGGCCCCCATGCAAGACCCATTTCTTCAGGACCCACAAAGGGTCCGCATTCCTTACCAGAGGTCCTTCTCCAGGGACTTGACGCGGCTCTGGAGCTGCTCATTGGTCTCATGTTGTTCCTCCAGCTCCCGCAGGGCCTTCTTGCGCGCAGCTTCCAGCCGCTCAATCTCCTCTTCTGCCTCGTCCACTTGCCTCTTCAACGCCTTGACCCGCAAGCTTAGCTATGGGAGGAAAGAAGGAAGGAAGGCCTGCTCAGTTTGACCCGGGGGTAGCAGGAGGGAGATCTGAGATGCCCTGGCATAAATACATGCTGGCTAATTTAAACCCCCCGTAAGGAGTGGAATCATCATACAGCAGGGTCTTTCTCCTTTAAACTTTCCAGTGCAGCAGAACCTGCCCTTTGGAACTCCCTGCCAATGGACACCAGGGAGGCAGCCTTCACTGAACTCTTTTTAAAAAAATCATCATCATTATTATTGTTATTTTCATTGAACTCTTTTCAGCATCCCCTCGAAACATTTTTGTTTAAGTTTTAAAACTTATGTGATTATATTATCAGTAGTGAATATGTTAAAATTTGTTGTAAAACCTAATAATTTTTTTATTTTTTATTTTAAAGGCAAGCCTATCGAGACACGGAGAAGCTGCACATATTTTTTTCTCTTTCTTAGCTAAAGTTGATTTTGGTAATATTTTTAACACCTATTTTTAATAGCTTTTCAGACCAACAATTTTAGCATTTTGTTTTATGCTGTTGTAAATACAACCCAGCAGGAAAAAGATAAATAAGTGGCAACCAGGCAAAAAGAACTCAGTTGCAGAAGATGCCAGGAGACGAAGCTGGGACTATCTGTGTGCAAAGCTCTGTACCCCGCAAGCTTGGACCCTCCCTGTAAAAGTAAAAGTAAGTGTCTAGTCCTCAAGGTTCTGGTTTTAAGCAGAGGAAGCTGCCTCGAACAGAGCCAGGCTCTCAGGTCCACTTGGCTTCATACTGTCAACAAAAGCTGGTTGTTCTCTTCTGAAAGAAAACTACATGAAAATGATGTATCGATGGTATATCACACCAGTACAAATAGCAAAAATGTATAAAACCGGGTCAAATAGATGCTGGAAATGTAAAGAAAAAGAAGGTACTTTTTATCATATGTGGTGGGAATGTAGAGAAGTTTTAAAAAATTGGAAATGATATATAATGAACTGGAAAAAATGTTTAAAATTACATTTGTAAAGAAAACCAGAAGCATTTTTGTTAGGGATTGTAGGACAAGACCTGCCAAGAAAAATAAAGAACTTACTTATGTATGCTACATCAGCAGCAAGGGTCTTGTTAGCATAAGGATGGAAGAATAAGGAAATCCCAACGAAAGAACAGTGGCAAGAAAAACTGGTGAGCTATGCGGAATTGGCCAAATTGACATATAAACTGCGTGATAAGGACATTCGTGACTTCAAGGAAGAACTTTTTACAAATTATCTAAAAAGACAACGAAAAGATCTGGACTCCTTGGCAGGTTTTGAATAAACACCCACAAACTTATTAGTTGAATACATGATAGATAAGGCAAGGATGGGGACCATTTTATAATACGCAGAGAACAATATGTGCAAAGAAACCGGAGAGGGGAGAAAATAATGTAATTGAATATTTGGATTGATAATTTGTTATGTTGAAATGGTCTAATAAAAATGTATTTTTTAAAAAACAACAACAAAGGCTGGTTGTGGTGGTCCAAGATTTCAGAGAGGGACATCTTTTTACAGCCCTGCCTGGAGATGCCTTTGGGCGTCTTCTGAGCCCCCCCTGCCCACCCCCAGCTCACCTGGTCCTTCTGGTCGTTGACATGCTGTCTCTCGTCATCGATCTGGATGGTCAGCTCCTTGACCTTCCGCTCCAGCTTGCGGTTCGAGGAGACCAGGACGCTCTTCTCCCTGCGGCAAGAAAAAGGGGGGAGCTGATTTCTGCAGTCCGATCACTGAACTCAGCACTGCCTCCACTGAGCGGCAGCGGCTGTCCAGGGCTGCAGGCAGGGGAGATTTCCAGCAAAACGTGGAGGTGAATTCTGGTGCTGGAGGAGACTCTGGAGAGTCCCATGGACTGCAAGAAGATCCAACCTCTCCATTCTGAAGGAAATCAGCCCTGAGTGCTCACTGGAAGGACAGATCCTGAAGCTGAGGCTCCAAGACTTTGGCCACCTCATGAGAAGAGAAGACTCCTGGAAAAGACCCTGATGTTGGGAAAGATGGAGGGCACAAGGAGAAGGGGACGACAGAGGACGAGATGGTGGGACAGTGTTCTCAAAGCTACAAACATGAGTCTGACCAAACTGCGGGAGGCAGTGGAAGACAGGAGTGCCTGGCGTGCTCTGGTCCAGGGGGTCACGAAGAGTCGGACACGACTCAACGACTAAAGAACAACAATGGAGGTTCTGGGGGTCTTCTGCAAGCAAGGCAGGTCCTGTGTCGCTTATCTGAGGCACAGACAGGGGGAGCTTTGGTCCTTGGGGTATCGCTGAACTACAACTCCCACCAGCCTCTACCTCTCTTTCAAATCAGAACCAGTGAAGACGGAGAAGTTTCTGTGTGAGTGTCTGGAGGCGGTTGGAGGATGGATGGCGGCTAACAGATTGAGGTTGAATCCTGACAAGACAGAAGTACTGTTTTTGGGGGACAGGAGGCAGGCAGGTGTGGAGGACTCCCTGGTCCTGAATGGGGCAACTGTGCCCCTGAAGGACCAGGTGCGCAGCCTGGGAGTCATTTGGGACTCACAGCTCTCCATGGAGGCGCAGGTCAATTCTGTGTCCAGGGCAGCTGTCTACCAGCTCCATCTGGTATGCAGGATGAGACCCCGCCTGCCTGTACACTGTCTCGCCAGAGTGGTGCATGCTCTGGTTGTCTCCCGCTTGGACTACTGCAATGCGCTCTACGTGGGGCTACCTTTGAAGGTGACCCGGAAACTGCAATTAACCCAGAATGCAGCAGCTAGACTGGGGACTGGGAGCGGCCGCCGAGACCACATAACACCGGTCTTGAAAGACCTACACTGGCTCCCAGTACGTTTCCAAGCACAATTCAAAGTGTTGGTGCTGACACTTTGGCGCAGTATACCTGAAGGAGCGTCTCCATCCCCATCGCTCGGCCCGGACACTGAGGTCCAGCTCCGAGGGCCTTCTGTTGGTTCCCTCGCTGCGAGAAGCCAAGTTACAGGGAACCAGGCAGAGGGCCTTCTCGGTGGTGGCGCCTGCCCTGTGGAACACCCTCCCATCAGATGTCAAAGAGAAGAACAACTACCAAACTTTTAGAAGACATTTGAAGGCAGTCTTGTTTAGGTTTAGCTTTTAATGTTTGATGGATTACTTTATTTTAATATTGTGTTGGAAGCCACCCAGAGTGGCTGGGGAAGCCCAGCCAGATGGGCGGGGTATAAATAAATTATTATTATTATTATTATTATTATTATTATTATTATTATTACTTGCCAGGCCAGTATTGCAGAGGGGTTGCCAAGACATTTTATCTATTTGTAAGATTTGAAGGATTTGCGAGTGGAAAGAACTATTGGGAAAGGGTTTCCAAGATAGCTTGGGGTTTGCTCTGTGATGATTAAATAATAAACTAACAACAACAACAACAACAACAATAATAATAATAATAATAATAATACAGAAACAAATAAATTTTGACTATCCTCATCAACATCTCGGGGAATATTTCCTAATTTTTGTTGAATAACTGGTTTCCTGTGAATTGTGTGTGTCCACTATTTGTGTGCACCTTTAAATTTTTAGAACAACCAGCAACAATCGCAGTCAATTTATTGCCACCAGGCCCACGCTGGGGAACGCTTTTCCAGCAGAGATGCGACGGGCACCCTCTTGTTTTTGGCTTCCAGGCATTTCTTCAAGAATCTTCCATGTTGATGCTTCGAATTTTCTTGAGTAGCCAGCCACGTGGCTGATCGTTCTGTATTGCTTATAAAGGTTTTACGCATCGATGTACACTGCACATTGATGTTTTGTGAGAGGGTGGTACAAAAATACTTCCCTAAATAAATTCCAAAGACCCCACCGTATAGGTTTACTGCGCTTCTATCCCACCATTTTCTGCAAGGAGCTTGAGGCGGCATATGCCATTTCCCCTACAATCTCCGCATTTAATCCCCACAACAACCCTGTGGGGTAGGTCGGGCCGAGAGGGACAGTGACTGGTCCAAGGCCACACCCTGAGAACTTCATAGTTTAGAGGTCCCAGGCCCTAAGGAAGCCAGACTATCCTCCACCAGGGCCTTTTCAGTGATGGCTCCGACCTGGTGGAATGCTCTGTCCCATGAGACCAGGGCCCTGCAGGATTTAACCTCCTTCCGCAGGGCCTGTAAGACAGAGCTATTCCGCCTGGCCTTTAATTTGAATTCAGCCTGATCTTTTATTTCCCTTCTCTTCCCTCCTCTTTTATGAAGATTACCCGCTCTGGGACCCCACAGCTAATTCTCCCCTGGTCTCCTTGCTGGCCCAAGTAGGACCAATTCAGCCAGCTAGCCCTGGGGATTATTTAATTGATTTTTGAATTTTATTGTTATTCATGTTTTTATACTGTATTTTATGCTGCTTTTATAATTAAGTGTTTTAAATTTGTTGTTAGCCACCCTGAGCCCGGTTTTTGAACCAGGAAGGGCGGGGTATAAATAAAATTTTATTATTATTATTATTATTATTATTATTAATCACTGAGCAGGGTATCTGAACCCGGTTTCCCTCATGACACTCTGACCACTACCCTACACTGCCTCTCCGCGACTTACCTCTCTTCAGCCTGGAGTTTGTCCTGAAGCTCTTGAATGTGCGATTCCAGCTGGGAGACGTTGGCACTGGGCTTCTGGAGAACTTCGCTGCTGGCGAGGCGGCTTTTCAAGTCTTTGTTCTGGAAAGAGAGATTTGGAAGCGGGGATATTTAGAGATTTAGAGAGGAAATGACCAGTGGCCGGGGACAAGTTCCTGCATGACCTGTATTAAATTGTGGGTGAACATATCAGACGACACAGCGATTCTTCAAACAGCTCTTGTTTATTCACAGGCCAGAACAGAACTGAACTGAAGGGTTCAGCCAGCCTGCTTATATAGAGCTCCACTACAACGCAACTGTAACCACTTTCTGTAACTATCCAATCACTGAACGTCACTTTCAATCCCTTATTTGCATATGTGGACCTGAGTGAAAACTATCTACAGTATCCCCCTGCTGGCCCAGGGTGAGAACTTCAGTATATAACAATCTGGAAGGGACTTCTGTGGCTAGGATTGCCACCTTTGCTCCGGCAAAACACTCTCTACTGTTGGTTTCTGTTTTCCTTCACTGTGCAGCTCTGCTTGTCACGAGACAGGTGTTTACATTCCACAGTCTGTACTGTTGGAGTTTCTCACGGGAAAGGGAGACTGGATGTGACGTACACTGGTTTCCTGTTTTTCACTGTGTGATTCTCTCCGAGCTGTCGAGGAGAGAGGATGCATTTTCTGCTCCGGCAGAGGCAAGATGTCTTTCTGTAATATACCAGCTTTGAACTGTAAATAAAGCAATATAGAGTATGCAGCACGTATTCCTCATCCTTCCGCTGGGCACGAGACTCTGCTTTAAATCAACACGTGGTTATGGGCTCCAGAAGTCGAATCGGAGTGCCGGCAAAGGATCGGAATGCAGAGGGACAGATCGGAACGGAATCTGCTCTGCGCGTAGAGGTGATTGATGAGGTATGTGCTACTGCTCCGGGCAGCCTGCCAGCTTCAAGTTAATGGCTTTATGGCTGGACTTTGAACCTTTAAAGCCGGTTTTGCCGGGAATAGGCAAAAGGCTCCCAGGCACAAGTCACTATGCTGGGGAAATCGAAGTAACTTTTAAGTGCGCCTTTGTAATAAGGCAGCTGCAGCAGTGACGCAGCAAGAATTAAAGCAGCATATATATGACGCTGAAGGCTAATGCCAGAGTCATGATGGCCCTTCAGGATGCTTGTGGGATTCCTAAGCTCAACAAGAAAAATTACAGCGACTGGGTTCAGTATGCAGAGGCAATTCTGCGGAAAGAGGGTTTGTTTGAGGTGATTACAGAAACCCCCAGTTCCAGTTACAGATGCATGGGAAGCTAAGGATTCCAAAGCAAGGGGAACTCTTACATTGATAGTATCCCCAGAAGAGCTCTGTCTATTGCGTGATAAGACCTCAGCCAGAGAAATTTGGGACGCTTTGAGAGAGGCTCACTTAAGGACAGAAGCTGGATCCACTATGTTTTACTTTAACAAGCTGCATAATATGGCTCTTGCTGAAGGTGGAGATGTGCGTTTACATCTGATGGAGATGCAAAATCTGAGACATGAGCTGCAACAGAGAGGACTCAACTTTCCAGAGGCTGTGTATTCTTTCATGATACTACAATCTTTGGGTTCAGGTTGGGAGTCTGTTGCAACCCAGATTGCTGTGCAACCAACTGCTCAGCTGACAGTGGACTTTGTTACTGCCGTGATTTTAAATGAAGCAGATCGCCGGGGTGCTAGCTGCATGGGCAAGGGGAGTCTTCACAGACGTCATCCCATAGTGCAGTGGAACCACCAGATGGCGCCAAAGCTTTGAAGGCAGTGAAATGCTACTCGTGTGGACGTCTAGGCCATATGAAGAGGGAATGCAGACATCCCAGGGCCAAGACAGAGCAGCGCAGCGAAAGCTCATCGCGCGGAAAAGGCCGAGGCAAAGGCAAAGGTCCGGTGTCTAGGACAACGCAGCACAAGGCTATGGTTTCACGCTTCACTCCAAAGGTTGCAGAGGTCCAGAAGACGTCTAGATCTTTCTTCGTTGTTGATTCAGCGGCGACCCACCACATGTGCAACGATAAGAGACTGTTTGTGTCTTTTACACCGCAGGAAGGTGCGATTCACCAGGCGGATGACCACACTATTCCCAGTAAAGGCTACGGAACTGTTGTTCTTCACAGTTTGGACTTATCGATACAGAATGTGCTTTACGTGCCAGACGCCAAACATAATCTGCTCAGCGTTGGACAGCTGAATGAGCGGAACATTGACGTTTCCTTCAAGAACAAGAAGTGCATCATCACAAAGAAAAATGATTATGTATTGCATGCAGAATATGTTGATCGTTTGTTTGTTTTGTATTATGATGATGTGGTGCAGGATGACACTTGTTGCATTGCAGGTTCTAACAAAAGTTTGCATGCAGAATGTATTCACGATTTTCATAGAAAATTTGGTCATTTGCATTTTGAGGCAGTATCTAAAATGCCTGCCTTGGTTGAAGGTATGACTATTAAACCCTGCAGGTACCACATGAAGTGCAAAGCATGCGCAGCAAACAAAGTGAAAATGGCTGCGAAAGGTAAGGTGTCTAGTAGGAAAGCTACAGAACCATACCAGGTTGTTCATGCTGATTTGGTTGGACCACTAGCGCCCTCTTTGGGTGGAAATAGATACTTCATGGTTCTCATTGATGCATTTTCTAGATATATTTTTGTGTACAATCTCAAGCAGAAATCGGAGGCTTTTCCTAGGTTCAAGGAATTCTGTGCTTGGTTGGAAAATGTGCATGGTAAGAAGATAAAGACTCTTTTCAGTGATCGCGGGGGGGAATTCACTTCTCAGCAGTTTGAAGCTTTTCTGACTGAGAAAGGAATTCAACACGATTTGTCTAGTCCTCGCTCGCCATGGCAGAATGGACTTGCGGAACGGGCAAATCAGACATTGCTTCAAGGGTTAAAAACCTTGCTGCATGATGCCAATCTTCCAGAGAGTTATTGGGCCGAATCTCTCTCGTGTTTTGTTTACAGTTACAATCGCAGGTTATCTTCAGCGATTGGTTGTACCCCTATGAGAAGATGTTTGGCAAGAAGCCATACATCAAACACATGAAGATTTTGGTTCTGACATGTGGGTTCGCTCACCACAAAACTCCAAGTTAGACAAGCGTGGATTGCATGGTATCTTTCTAGGTTATCAGAAAGGGTCTTACAGAATAATGATGACTGACTCTAAGACAATTAAGCTCACGAGAAGTGTTGAGTACAATGCAAAGTGGGGGAGAATGTGGGAATTTTCCAATGTTATCCTGATGACGGTGATGAGACTGAGGATAGTCAAAAGCAACCACAACAGCCCACACCCACTGATGAAGGTTCTGAGTCTGAATCTGAAACTGAATCGGGTGATTCAGAGGATTTCAAGAGTGCGAAAGCCTCTATGCGACCCTCTGAAAGCTCTGATCAAGAATTGGAGGAACCATTGTTCACAATAGGTCGTTTTTCTCCTAAGAAGGAAGAGGAGAGTGTTGAAGACTTAAGGCTAATTCGTAGGTCACAGAGAGCCACAATAGGCAAACCTCCAAAGAGATTTGCTGATGAGTTTGCTACGATAACAGTAACAGCTGTTAAAAGCTCCAAGAAGGTATTTGAACCTTCAAGTTTACAAGAAATCCAGGGTTTGGATTCAAAGGAGGCTGAGCCATGGTTAAATGCCATGAAGGCTGAGCTTGATTCCTTAGAAAGGAACAAAACATGGGAGCTAGTTCCAGTAGTTCCAGGAATGAAACTGCTTGGAAGCAAATGGGTCTTCAAAGCGAAGACAGATCAAAATGGCAAGATAGTCAGACACAAAGCCAGATTGGTAGCCAGAGGTTTTGCACAGGTACCAGGTCAAGACTATCACGAGACCTATTCACCCACAGTGAGATATGAAAGCATTAGGCTTATGCTCAAGCTAGCTGCAGAGGAAAATCTACACATTAGTCACCATGATATTAATACAGCTTTTCTGTACGGATCTCTAGATGAATCACTTTATATGCTTCCACCTGATGGCGTACAGGTAAAACAGGGATTTGTTTGTGCTCTGAAGAAATCCCTTTATGGTCTCAAACAAAGTGCACGGTGTTGGCACACAAAACTCACTGAAGTATTGTTTTCTCTAGGTTTTCAGCAAGGGAAAGCTGATCCATGTGTATTTGTCAAAGAGGAGGGGCAAAAGAAACTGTACTGTTTGTTTTATGTTGATGATTTATTATTCTTTTGGAAAGATGTTGCAATGTACAATAGCGCCCTAGCTCAACTGAAAGAGCACTTTGACATGAAAGATCTTGGTGAGGTAAACAACTACCTATCTCTGGAAATAGAGAGAGATCAAGATGGTAACATTCTAGTACACCAGTCACGGAAAATTGCTGATGTGTTAAGCAAACTAAATCTGATGGATGCTAACCCTGTAGACACACCGATGACAACAGGTTATCAGGTAGATGACACTGAAGAAGCATTTTCTGACACTACACTGTACAGGAGTGTGCTAGGCAAGCTAAACTTCATTGCCAGATGTTCAAGACCAGACATTGCTGTTAGCTGTAATTTGCTAAGCAGACAAGTCAACAATCCTAGTGTCAAGGATTGGAAAGCTCTGAAACGCATAGCGCGGTATTTGAAAGGCACTATGCATTACAGACTGAGATTTAACAATCAGAAGTCTGGTGGTCTTGAGATATTTGCAGATGCAAGTTTTGGAAGTGACGCTACAGACAGGAAAGGTACGTCTGGAGTTTGCTACATGTACAATCAGAGTCTGTTTGATTGGTCATGCAAGAAGCAAACAACAGTTAGCTTAAGTACTTGTGAAGCCGAACTGAATGCACTGTCTTATTCACTTAAGGATTGTGAATGGTTAGTACAATTGTGCAAAGATATGAAAATTCCTGTCAAATGTCCAATCCAGGTTTACCAGGACAACAAAGCATGTTTGGCTTTGCTGAAGTCTGAAGGTTGTAAGCAAAGCACAAAGCACTTACAATTAAAGTTGCAGCATGCTAGGGAATGTATTCAGAAGGGACTCGTAACGGTGTCCTATATGCCAGGTAATGAAATTCCTGCTGATGTATTGTCCAAGATTGTATCAAGGGATCAACACTGTACCTATGTGCAGAAGTTGGGTTTGTACTGATATTGTGCAAACACGCTGCCCAGTGATGTTCACAGAAAGGGGGAGGATGTTGGTTTCTGCTTTCCTTCACTGTGCAGCTCTGCTTGTCACGAGACAGGTGTTTACATTCCACAGTCTGTACTGTTGGAGTTTCTCACGGGAAAGGGAGACTGGATGTGACGTACACTGGTTTCCTGTTTTTCACTGTGTGATTCTCTCCGAGCTGTCGAGGAGAGAGGATGCATTTTCTGCTCCGGCAGAGGCAAGATGTCTTTCTGTAATATACCAGCTTTGAACTGTAAATAAAGCAATATAGAGTATGCAGCACGTATTCCTCATCCTTCCGCTGGGCACGAGACTCTGCTTTAAATCAACATCTACAATATCCTTTTTGAGATGAGGGGACCAGCCTTTTAGAAGGTCTTTGCGTGCATGGGGAAAGTGGGGCAGAAAAGGACTGGAAAGCACAGTGCTCTGATCTGTGTTGGACCAATAGTTTCATTAAAAGCCTCTTGCAGAATTAAGAAACCAGAAGACTTTCTACTTGGAATAATGGAATTGGAATTGCCCAAAAAGATGGTAGGTTGTTTTCGTATGCCACCACAGCAGCAAGACTTTTACTAGCCAAAAACTGGAAATCGCAAGAGATACCAACAGTAGAAGAATGGCAGATGAAGATGTTGGACTTTTCGGAGCTAGCCGATCTGACTGGAAGAATCTGCGACCAGAAAGAAGAGGCGACATAAGAGGACTGGAAGAAATTCAAAGAATATCTAGCTAAATATTGTAATGTAAGATAAATAGAAAATTCCTGGAAGTAACAAATAGGCTTAGGGGTAGAATAAGAATATGTGTTAGTAATTATTTTGGATTTCAATATTAATAAAGGAGAAGAAGTTAAATGAAAGAAGTTAATATTATTGGAAGTAAGAATTTGGAGAAGTGCTAAACAGGTGATATAATGAAATTCAGTTAGAGGGGATTTGAGGAAGTCAGTTATTAATGTAATGAAATTAGGAATTTGAAGTAATAATTTTTCTTTGTGCTATTTTTTGTTGTGTGTTTTTGTAAGGTTTTTCTTTTTACGTGATAAATGTGAAAATCAATTAAAAAAATGGGGGAGGGGAAGCCTCTTTCAGGCGGCTTCTGGCTGAATCAGCAACTTGGGGTTATAAGCAACAAGATGGAGAGCAAACACAGAAACACACACGCACACACAAACACGAACTCCGGCTGCACAGGGTTATGTAACGTCCCGGGCCGGGCTGAACAAAATTCCCCTCCCCGCTTCAGAAAGCAGGAATTTTGATTAGCAGAGTTACATAACAGTAATAATTGCTTTCCCCTTGCTTTGCAGTGCAGCCAAGTTGGTGATGGTGGGAGGCCCGGTTTTGCTGCTTTTCTTTATGAAAGAGAGAGAGAGAGAGAGAGAGAGCGCAAACCCTCAGGAGGAATGCAAAAAAGAGCTCCTGTTCTCTCTCATCTGTGTTCAAACATGTCTTGGGCCACAGCTCCCAAACAGTAGCACAGACAGGGAAGCGCAGCCCACAGAGACCTCTGCCAAATCCCTTAGAAATCTGGTTTTCGTTTAAACAAAACAAAAGGGGAAGAAGAAAGAGGCTAGTCCTCATGGAGGCCGAGAAAAACGCAGAGGCCTATCGGAAAGAGGTTTTCTTTCAGGCCGCAAAGCAACCTGAGTTTTGGGCTAAAACTCTACGGCTGATGCAAAAGGATAGCAGGCAGGCAGGCTGGACTACTAGGGAAATGGTAATATGAATAATAATCCTAAATTAACTGCAGCGAAATGAGGACGCACTGCAAAAATCGACACCGCAGCAGGCAAGCTTCCCTGTTCCACAGAACGCCTCTCCGGGCGATCTCTCCCTTTCCGTTTATAACGAACATTTTATCACATGTGGTGGGAATGTATAAAGGTGAAATGCTTCTGGGAGATGATATATAATGAATTGAAAAAAATGTTGAAATATACATTTATAAAGATACCAGAAGCATTTTTATTGGGCATTGTGGGGAGTGACAAATAGAAAGGAATGTGAGCTCTTTTTATATGCAATAACAGCAGCAAGAATATTACTGGCCCAAAAATGGAAGCAAGAAGAGTTACCGACGATTGAAGAATGGAGGATGAAGTTAATGGACTATGCAGAATTAGATAAACTAACAGGACAGGAAGGATTCGAAACTGGTGGGACCAGAAATTCACGGAAGACTGGAGAAAATTTACGGACTATTTGAAAAGTAACTGTGAAGAACAGACGACGTTTGTAGGGTTGCAAGAAGTTTTGTGAGGAGTATTATCAGAAGAATTGTAAAAATGGAGAAGGGGAAGGATGATTTGTTAAGAGATGTAAAGGCAGTATAAAGTTAAGAAATGCATAAGAAGTGGTTAAAATGGTGGATCATCAGAGGTGCTGATGGAAGTCTAAAATGATGGTATAAGTGATAAGTTTTGTGGTACATTTTATAATTTATATGTTAAAATTAATAAAAAATATTATAAAAATATATATATAACGAACATCCAGAAATGAAGAAGCGCTCTGCTGAGCTCAGAGGCCTGCTCACTGCTCTGCAATGTTTCGAAACAAACCGGTTCTGTTGCTGCTTAAGACGAGGAGTAATGTAATGCGTTAATTAGTAAGCGTTTGGTCATTTGGCCCAATTAAGGGCCAAACGAGGCACGAGCCTGTTCACGCGCTTGTCTTCCTTCCCTGGGGACGAAGAACATCTGTGGTGAGGAGGGCACCGAGTGCGAGAAAACGGGGCGGCGAGGAACAGGCTCAAATATCCCCTTCCTTGCTCCCCAAATTCAGTTTTATTCCTCACATAGAATAGCAGAATTATAGAGTCTGGAGGAACTCTGGCCAAACCCCCCGCAATGTCTTTTTTTAAAAGTCCAGGTTTGAATGTGGCCCCCAAACCCCTTTCCTTGGCCCCTGGGACTCTCATAAAGGGTGGGGAAGGCAGGTCAGAGAATGCGATGCCTGCCACCAATTTGGTTTTTACTATCTAATGTGGTTTTAACTGATGTTGCTTAAGTTCATCACTGTTTTCCCACCATCCACGGATCTCTCGGTGTGAGGGGGTGGTTTAATAAATGCAATTTAAAAATCCAGTAAAATTCCTGGGAAGGAAAGGGATCAGAAGCACCCAGCCACACCCTTTGCAACTTTTTCATAAAAGGTAAAGGTAAAGGGAGCCCTGACCATTAGGTCCAGTCGTGACCGACTCTGGGGTTGCGGCGCTCATCTTGCTTTATTGGCCGAGGGGCCGGCGTTTGTCCGCAGACAGCTTCCAGGTCATGTGGCCAGCAGGACTAAGCCGCTTCTGGCAAACCAGTGCAGCGCACGGAAACGCCGTTTACCTTCCCGCCGGAGTGGTACCTATTTATCTACTTGCACTTGCTTTCGAACTGCTAGGTTGGCAGGAGCAGGGACTGAGCAACGGGAGCTCACCCCGTTGCGGAGATTCAAACCGCCGACCTTCTGATCGGCAAGTCCTAGGCTCTGTGGTTTAACCCACAGCGCCACCCGCGTCCCTTGCAACTTTTTCATACTTTGGCTCAAATGCACCAGCTTAAAAACAAAACTCTTTGCATGGTAAGCTGTGATTCCTGGATTGGACTAGACTAGATGATTCTTAAGGTTTCTTCCAACTGCACAATTCTATGATTCTGCAGGCAATATTAGTCATACACAAGAGTAGACCCATTTGAAACTAATGGGCCGAGTGACTCATGTCTATTCATGTCAATGGGCCTCCTCAGAGCATGACTAACGCTATAAAATCCTACGGCTGCAGGTCTCTTCCCATACAACCCGGAGCAGAGTGGAAGTTTATGCAAGAAAGCTTCTGATCTGTTACTTTAAAAACAAACAAGAGCCATGCCACAACTGCTGGTTTTCGGTGCTGTAAGAAATCTTCCATTCCCCCCCCCACCGCAAAAAGGAAGGTTGGGAACTATAGTTTGAGGGTGCTGGGAACTGTAGCTTTGCAAGTTCCCAGGATTCTCTGGGTGGAAATAATGTGTTCTGAATGTATGGCACGTAGGCCAGTCTAAAACCTGTGGCTCTCCAGGGCTCCAACTCCCAGCAGCCCCTGGGGCCAACGGCAAAGGGGTTGCTGGGAGTTGTAGTCCGGCGGCGCCCAGAGGACCGCAGATGTTCTAGCCCCGTCCCTGTTGTGAAAGAAGCAGGTTTCACACACACACACACACACACACACACACACACGGGGCAAGACGTACCTCAGCTTCTGAACCTGAAGGCTTGGGGGAGGGTGATCATACAAGAGGAAAGTCTGTTTGCAAAGGACAATTGCAGGGGGTTGGTCTGAATGACCTTGTGGGGTCCCTTCTACAATTCTACAATAAAGGTCTCTACAGGGAACGCTTTGAGCCACACGTGGCCAGCGTCCAAGCAGAGTGTCACCAGGGCTGTTTTCGCCCTCGTTAATTGCACGGTAACAGCAGCTCGTTCATTGAAATGTCTCAGGGGGGGTTGGATTTTGAAATGGTGCAAATTACATAACCTGTCTCATCACCCCCCCACCCCCCACAAGCCCAGGCAGGCAGGGCTCCTGCAGACGCAGAAGGCAGATCTGGTGGGGAAAGAGACTGCTGGGGAAGTTTCCAGGTCCAAACCCGCTTCGAACAGAGCCTGAACCGCCTTCCACCGTCCGAATGCCAGTTGGGGGGCAAATATTAAACCACTCTGGGAATTTCAGCTCAGTGAGGGGGAATAGGGAGAGAGGGGTCTCCTAGCAAACCGCAGCTGCCTATTTTATTTTATTTTTGAATTCTAATCTTTATTTTAAGCATTAAATCCCTCCACCACAAAAGAACCAAAAAAAAAAAAAAAAGAGAGAAAGCAAATCACCTCACATACAAAGAATTTTTTTACATATAAAATTCTTCCATAACTTGTGACTTCCCTCATCCTCAATATGGGTCCATCATTACCTTGTTGACTGCATATTTTTTAACTTATCGTTAATTGTTCGTATTCATGGTAGAAAATATCATTGCAGAAGTTATTCAAAACATGTCAGAGATTTTATCTGAGAACAATATAATTTGAATAAATCCCGTTCTTTATTAAACTCTTGGTTTGTTTGATTCCTAATTTCCCCTGTCATCTTTGCCAATTCTACATATTCTAAGAACTTTGCCTGCCATTCCAATTTAGTTTGGATTTTATCTCCCTTCCACCATCTGGCGCTACCAAAATTATTTGAAGCGGTAGGCAAAGAATTCTCTATTTCTGTTGTGAACTTGGGACTCAGAAGGATTAGAAACAGAAGCAACAATAGCCGGAATATCATCTTAGGGTGAGACATGGGCTGGATAAAAAGATGCCGGATTTAAAATCAAAATCAATAAATAAACTAGTCCCAAGTCACCAACATTATAAGCTTCTGGGGGTCTAAGCAGACCACAAGCTTAACATGAGTCAACCGTGTGATGCAGCAGCAATAAAGGCCAATGCTATTCTAGGCTGCATCAACAGAAGTGTAGAGTCCAGATCAAGGGAAGTCATAGTCCCTCCAGTAGTGATGTATGGAAGTGAGAGCTGGACCACCAAGAAGGCTGATCGCCGAAGAATGGATGCTTTTGAATTCTGGTGCTGGAGGAGACTCTTGAGAGTCCCATGGACTGCAAGAAGATCCAACCTCTCCATTCTGAAGGAAATCAGCCCTGAGTGCTCACTGGAAGGACAGATCCTGAAGCTGAGGCTCCAAGACTTTGGCCACCTCATGAGAAGAGAAGACTCCCTGGAAAAGACCCTGATGTGGGGAAAGATGGAGGGCACAAGGAGAAGGGGACGACGGAGGACGAGATGGTTGGACAGTGTTCTTGAAGCTACCAGCATGAGTCTGACCAAACTGCGGGAGGCAGTGGAAGACAAGAGGGCCTGGTGTGCTCTGGTCCAGGGGGTCACAAAGAGGCGGACACGACTAAACAACAACAAGGGTGCTGAGAGTTCATAGGAGATCTCTGTTCCCCCTTCACAGAGCTACAATTCCCAGAGATCAGAGCACACCTGGAATCCTGTGTCCAGTTCTGGGCACCACAATTTAAGAAGGATGTTGACAAGCTGGAACATGTGCAGAGGAGGGCAACCAAGATGATCAAGGGCCTGGAACCCAAGCCTGATGAGGAACAGTTGAAGGAGCTGGGTATGTTTAGCCCGAGAAAGAGGAGATATGAGAGCCATCTTCAAATATCTCAAGGGCCACTGCATGGAAGATGGAGCAAGCTTGTTTTCGCCTGCTCTGGAGGGTAGGACTCGAATCCATGGCTTCAAGTTCCAAGAAAGGAGATTCCATCTGCATCTGAACATCAGGAGGAACCATCTGGCAGCAAGAGCTGTTTGGCAGCGGAACGGACTCCTTCAGGAAGCTGTGGACTCTCCATCCTTTGGGTGGTGGGGGAGCAGAATCAGCCGGTTATTATCTGCGTAACTTTAAAATCATATGCGGTGGCAGCGGGAGGAGGAAAGTGGGAGGATCCCAGCAGCCTCCGATCGCTGAGTCGGCAAAGAGAAGATGCAGACCTGACCGAACACGCCAGTGGCAGCCTCACCTGTCTTTCCAGCGAGATCTTATCGCACTCCAGGTCCTGCCTCACAGAGCGCTCTTGAAGGAGTTCCGCCCTCAGCTGGTCAATCTGGAGGGAGACAGAGATAATAATAATAATAATAATAATAATAATAATAATAATAATAATAATTTATACCCTGCCTTTTCCGGGCTCAGGGTAGCTAACACCAGTAAAATCACAGTAAAATCATAATAGGGGGGAAAAACCCAATTTAAAATGCAATTTAAAATGCAGCCTCATTTTAAAAACAGCCCATAGATCATAAGGTTTTGATAGGGGACAGGGTTGTTAGCAGAAGACAATTATTAGAGGCCTTACAACTCAATAGGCTGAATTCTATGATACCAACGCTTCAGGACCTGCTTTCGGACAGGAATGATCAAATTACTTGAATAGTGGCTGAATTTTTGAGTGCTGTCCATGTAGAAAGACCGGGCCATTATGAAGAGATTTAGTGGTTCTTAATTGATGAGTGATGTGGTAGTGTTGTGGTGTTATTATTTATGCAAATCGATTTCCTCTGGGGTTAAAGATCTGACTGGGACAAACCTTGTTATGCTGAGCTCGTATCTTGCACAATTTGTATACGCCTGAGTAGGGTTAGCATTGATACAACCCAAAGATTTTATTTTCAAAGTCGTTGAATACTTATCTATTTATTGCACTGATGCGCCAAGGGACAGAGGGTTTCCCTAACAACGTTCGGCGCTTGTAGCAAACTACAGTTTCCGGGGTTCCTGGAGTGGGGAGCTGTGGCTGTTTAAGGCAGTATAATAAAAGCTATTTAAATGGATGTGTGATTACAGCCACCCTAAGGGCAGTTTGACAATGAACTGGAGCGGGCCTCCCAAAGAATTCTGGGAGTTGTAGTCTGTGCTGCCGAGAGACCCCTGTGCTGCCGAATTCCCTCGCAGGGTTACAATTCTCAGAGCCCTCTTCGCAGGGAACTCTGGGAAGTGTAGTTCCATGAGGCATCCCCAACCTTCGGCCCTCCAGATGTTTTGAGACTACAATTCCCATCATCCCTGATCACTGGTCCTGTTAGCTAGGGATCATGGGAGTTGTAGGCCAAAACATCTGGAGGGCCACAGGTTGGGGATGCCTGGGATATTCTAACAACTCTCAGCACCCTCAACAAACTACACTTCCCAGAATTCCTTGGGGTTTAAAGTGGCACAACACTGCTTTAGAAGCAGCCTGCGTTTTGCAAGCGGCCAAGATGTCGACAGGCACCATCTCCCCCACCTGGTCTCTCGTGCGGTTGATCCTCTCCGTCAAGAGCTCCACCGTGTTCCTTTCCTCGTCCAGCTCCACTTCGAGGCGTTTCGATTTGTCCTGAAAAACCATTTTACGCGTTTAATCAAACGTTATCTGCTATCCCGCCCATGAGTGCAGGTATCATTCAGGCAATGACATAAAGCATTGAGTTGGCTTCAGAAATGAAACTGAAGCTCTGGAACTGTGTGGGAAAAGGCCACAATAAAATGTTGTTTGCGGGGGGGGGGGGGGCGGGAAACCCAACCCTGAGCAGAATAAAAGAAAGTATGACTTTAATAATAATCTCATTTATATACCAACTTTTCCTCCAAGGAGCTAATTTTTAAATTGTATTTTAACCTGTATTTTAAATTGGTTTTCCTACCCTATTATGTTTTTATTGTAATTTTACTGGTGTTAGCTGCCCTGAGCCCAGCTCTGGCCAGGGTATAAATAAAATTATTATTATTATTATTATTATTATTATTATTATTATTATTATTGGCTTCCTGTGAGCTTCCTGGCTGTGGACAGAGATTTGAACCCTGGTCTCCCAGGTCATAAATCTTACAACCCTAACCACCTCTAGCTAGTGGGGTGCAGTGGCCAGAGTGTGGGACTACCACCTGGGAGACCAAGGTTCAAATCCCCACTCGGCCACGAAGCTCTCGCTGGGTGACCTTGGGCCAACCCGCAGTCTCTCAGCCTGGCATTACAGGGCTGCTGAGAAGATGACATCAGCAGAGGGAAGAATTCTACAAGCCACCTTGAGCTCCCTGGAGGAAAGGTAAAGGGACCCCTGACCATTAGGCCCAGTCGTGGCCGACTCTGGGGTTGCGGCGCTCATCTCGCTTTACTGGCCGAGGGAGCCGGCGTACAGTTTCCGGGTCATGTGGCCAGCAGGACTAAGCCGCTTCTGGCGAACCAGAGCAGCGCACGGAAACACCGTTTACCTTCCCGCCAGAGCAGTACCTATTTATCTACTTGCACTTTGACATGCTTTCAAACTGCTAGGTTGGCAGGAGCTGGGACAGAGCAACCAGAGCTCACCCCGTCGCGAGGATTCGAACCGCCGACCTTCTGATCGCAAAAAAACAAAACCATCAGACTGCTTGGTTTAATTTCTGCCTGCTTAAACTTGGAAAATAGGTTTTTGCCGTGGTTGTTTTACCAAAAAAAAGTGCTTCATGTGGAAAAATGCAGTGTTTGCAAACGTGTTGCAGCAGGAGGAGCCGGAAAACACATCTTTGCTGTGTTGCTATTTTTAAGCACATGCAAAAATTATCAGGTTTTACCAAAATTGCTCTCTACTGGGGGTAGGGTGTTTGTAGCAGAGACAGAGGAACCAAACAGCTGTATGGGGGACAGACAGAGACTTTTTGAAAAGCAGCACTGCTGCCTCCTGCTGTTGGCTAGGAAGTATTGCATGCATGGCGGACCCAGGCCAGACGGCAAAAAACCACATTTTTTTCTTGCTTTGACAAGGAGAGGAACCCTCCCTCGTTTCCAGTTTTCTACTCCCCTACAATTCCCAGAGTTCTCTGTGAAGGGGGAGCGATTCTTCGGCCCCCCTGGGAGCCAAATGGGGGCAGGGGGCGTTTCCCAGCAATTCTCAGGACCCTTGCCAAACCACAGCTCCCAGAATCCTTTGGGGGAAGCCAAAGGCTGTTTACGAAGAGGCATCACACCGCTTTAAATGTGTGCTGGAGCCACGGGTCTGGAGGTCTGCTGGGATTCTCAGTTCAGGAAAGAGGAAGGCAGGGGAGGGTGGAAATGCAAACCTCCAGGGCCTTGACTTGCCGGGATCGATCGTCTTGCGACCTCCGCTTGGACTCCATCTCCTGCTCCAAGTTGTGGAGGCGCTGGGCCAGCAGTTCCTTGTCCAAGACGGCGTTCTCACGCTCAGCTTGGGCGTCCTGCAAGGCTTGCTTCAGACGCATCACCTGGAAGGGAGGGAAACGGAAGCGGGTTTGCGAGGGAGTAGACCAGCATGCCTTTCTGGAGGAGTGAGAGATTCGAACCCAGGCCCTGCCGCCAACCTGGGACTTTTCCCCTTGTGGGAAACCCCCGTGACCCTTGGGAGTTGCTGGACTACATCTCCCATCATCCTCGCCTGCCGGCTGAGGCGGCTGGGAGCTGAAGTCCACACTTGCCCTACGGCCACACCGACTCTCCTGCCGGAGGCAGGCCTGGCAGAAGCCCACAAGGCGGGAACGAAAGAGGCAGCCCTCCTCTTCCGGTGCGTTCCCCTAGCGTCAGAGATAGACTGCCCCTGCAGAGGGAGGTTCTGCCCCCAGCTATCGGGAGTGAATAAGCGTGCTGGATCAGGGCAAGAGGCCCATCCAGAGCCCACTGGGAAACGTGGGGCGGAAGGCGCGGGGACCAAAGAGTAGGCCGAGCCAGTGGTTATCTCCCGCTTGGACTACTGCAATGTGCTCTACGTGGGGCTACCTTTGAAGGTGACCAGGAAACTACAACTAATCCAGAATGTGGCAGCTAGACTGGTGACTGGGAGCGGCCGCCGAGACCATATAACACCGGTCTTGAAAGACCTACATTGGCTCCCAGTACGTTTCCAAGCACAATTCAAAGTGTTGGTGCTGACCTTTAAAGCCCTAAACAGCCTCAGTCCAGTATATCTGAAGGAGCATCTCCACCCCCATCGTTCTGCCTGGACACTGAGGTCCAGCTCCGAGAGCCTTCTGGTGGTTCCGTCCTTGTGAGAAGTGAGGTTACAGGGAACCAGACAGAGGGCCTTCTCGGTAGTGGCGCCCGCCCTGTGGAACGCCCTCCCACCAGATGTCAAAGAGAACAACAACTACCAGACTTTTAGATGACATCTGAAGGCAGCCCTGTTTATGGAAGCTTTTAATGTTTGATGCATTACTGTCTTTTAATATTGTGTTGGAAGCCGCCCAGAGGGGCTGGGGAAACCCAGCCTGATGGGCGGGGTATAAATAATAAATTATTATTATATTATATTATATTATATTATATTATATTATATTATAGTGGCAATGAAAGGCGGAGCCAGCTAACTCTAGTTCCTCCCCATCCTTGTCCTTCCTGCTGAGTCTCATGGAGACGAAAGAAGAGGAAGAAGCCAGCCACCGACAGCTCACCTGGCCAAGACGACTGGCCCCACCTAGCCCAGTGTCCACTGCTACCTCTGGGGTCTCGCAGCCCCCTGCTCATTCCATAGCCCCTTCCTTGAATTGTGTTCGCCTCTTGATTTTGAAAGCAGAGAGAAAAGGGGAGCAGGGCCCTCTTCCCACCCCATCGTACCTCGTCCTGCAACCGCCCCAGGTTGTATTGCATCTTCTCCACCTCGGTGTTCCTCTCTTTGGCCTGCTTCTGGGAGTCCGTGATCTCCTTGCGCGACTTCTCCTTGTATTCCTCCAGCTGACTCTGCAGCTTGGACAGGGCGCTGTGGGACTCTTGAGCCATCTGATCTAGCTGGAGGAGAGGAGAGGGACTCCAGGTGAAACCTCAAGGAGGATGTTTTAATCATCATCAACCTTTATTACGGCCCAGAGACCCAACAAATCGTTACAAAGCAATACACAGTTCATACAGCCTACCTCCAGGTCAAGCAAGCATTTTGTTCAGAATATAGGGATCATTGGTTCTTGCAACCATGTTTTAATCATGGGCTCCATGATCACTGCAGATGGTGACAGCAGTCATGAAATTAAAAGACGCCTGCTCCTTGGGAGAAAAGCAATGACAAACCTAGACAGCATCTTAAAAAGCAGAGACATCACCTTGCCAACAAAGGTCCATATAGTTAAAAGCTATGGCTTTCCCAGTAGTGATGTATGGAGGTGAGAGCTGGACCATAAAGAAGGCGGATCGCCAAAGAATTGATGCTTTTGAACTGTGGTGCTGGAGGAGACTCTTGAGAGTCCCATGGACTGCAAGAAGATCAAACCTCTCCATTCTGAAGGAAGTCAGCCCTGAGTGCTGACTGGAAGGACAGATCCTGAAGCTGAGGCTCCAAGACTTTGGCCACCTCATGAGCAGAGAAGACTCCCTGGAAAAGACTCTGATGCTGGGAAAGATGGAGGGCACAAGGAGAAGGGGACGACGGAGGACGAGATGGTGGGACAGTGTTCTCGAAGCTACCAGCATGAGGACCAGGAAGATGGTTAAAACCCTTCCCAATTTCCCCCCGTCTCCAAGAAGTGGGAGGATGGCTGGCTCCCCCAATTGCCTCCTATTTCCTAAGACCAGAGCAGGGATGGGGAACCTCAGTATATTGCATTTTTAATACATGTATATATACAGCTGTGGAAGAGCCATAGCTCGATGGTAGAACATCTAAGGTCCTCTCTAACACACACACACGAAATACAGGGTCTCTGGGCATCTCTCTGCACAGCTTGCCCAAGATTCTGCGTCTCTCCCTCTCTGGCCCAGCGAAGGCCAAAGCATCATCTGCTGGCTGCTCCTGTCATCGCCTTGTCCACCCTCGCGGACCCTGTCACAATCCTGCTGCTCTGTTAAAAGCCCTGCCAGATCACTGGTGTCAGCTCCTTAAACCTCAGCAGAAAATGGGAGCTGGCAGCAAGGGCCTGCTGCCTAATGATCTGGCTGTCTTCTCATGGCCGACTGGGAGCGAACGCCACCCCCCTCTGCAGTGCTGCGGCAGCCGGCTTTGCAGCAGAGACCCTGAGAGGGAGCTGAATTCAGTCCACATAGAGCCCTAACGTGAGGCAAGGCAAGGCAAAGACACACCGAGGAATTGGTTTTGCAGGCCTGCCAAAGCTGAGGAGGCCCGTGCCTGGGTGAGGGCGTTGATAGGAGTCCCAAGTAAAGGTAAAGGTAAAGGGACCCCTGACCATTAGGTCCAGTCGTGGCCGACTCTGGGGTTGCGGCGCTCATCTCACTTTACTTGCCGAGGGAGCCGGCGTACAGCTTCCGGGTCATGTGGCCAGCATGACTAAGCCACTTCTGGCGAACCAGAGCAGCGCACGGAAACGCCGTTTAGCTTCCTGCCGGAGCGGTACCTATTTATCTACTTGAACTTTGACGTGCTTTCGAACTGCTAGGTTGGCAGGAGCAGGGACCGAGCAACAGGAGCTCACCCCGTCACGGGGATTCGAACCGCCGACCTTCTGATCGGCAAATCCTAGGCTTGGTTTAACCCACAGCACCACCCGCGTCCCTTAGGAGTCCCAAGTATTCCATGTTTAAAAATATGCAGCCATACCTCATGTTGCATCCGCTTCAGGTTGTGTTTTTTCAGGTTACGGACTGCCGAAACCCGGAAGTACTGGAACAGGTTACTTTCGGGTTTTGGCAGTTGCGCATGTGCAGAAACGCTAGATCGTGCTTTGCGCATGCACAGAAGCCCCAAATCGCAGCCCGTGTGTGCACAGACGCGAGTTGCGAACGCTGCGGGTTGCGAACGTGCATCCCGCATGGATCACGTTCACAACCTGAGCATCCAAAGTAAAAGCGATCAAATCAAGGACACCAGGAGGACAGGCAGCTTTAACCCCACTGGGGGACAACCCACTTCCAAGTCATCTGAGCACAGAGCCTTCTCAAAAAAGGACAGGAGCCAAATCAAGAGAATGACAGTTGGTTGGTGAGGTCACGGCTGCTAGCCAGTTGGTGCTCATGAGCGACTGCCATTTGCTTCGTTGGGCCTTCACGGGATAATTTCAAAGTGAACAGGGCTTAAACCATCCTTTTCTACATCTGGCCATGAGGCCTGGTACCCTAGAGACCCTAACTCCGTGGTAGAGTATCTGCTTTGGACAAAGAAGGGCCCTGGCACAATCTTCCATGCAGGGATGGGAACATCCCTTGCCTGCAGCCCTGGAGATCTGCTGCCAGCCAGTGCTGACAACACTGAACTAGCTGGGCAATGGTCTGAGAATGAGAATTAGGCAGCTTCCATAAACAGGATGTTAAATTGTTTTTATACGCAGCAACAGCGGCAAGAGTATTGTTAGCCCAGAAATGGAAGCAAGAAGAAATTCTGACGAAAGAAGAATGGCAGACAAAATTAATGGACTACGCAGAATTGGATAAAATGACAGGAAGGATTCAAAACCTGTGGGACCAGAGATTCACAGAAGATTGGAAGAAATATACGAACTATTTGAAGAGCAACTGTAATCAACAAATTACGCTAGTAGGACTACAAGAAGTTTTGTAAGGAGGAATATACCGTACGAACCATTGCAAAGAGGAGAAAGAAGAGAGATATTAGTTATGAGATGTAAATGTAATAGTGAAAGTAAGAAATGTATATTAAGTGAATAGATTGGAAAACTTTCAGATGTGGTTGATGGAAGTAAAAAAAACTGTTTAAGATGTAAAAGTACAGTCATACCTCAGGTTAAATGTGCTTCAGGTTGAGCATTTCCAAGTTACGCTCCTTGGAGACCCAGAAGTATCGGAGTGCATTACTTCCGGGTTTCGCCGCTCGCACATGCGCAGATGTTCAAAATGGTGTCACGCGCATGCACTGAAGCGGCAAAACGTGACCCGCGCACGCGCAGTCGTGTCTTACATTCTACTCAGGATGCAAACGGGGCTCCGGACCGGATCCCGTTCGCATCCAGAGGTACCACTGTATGTTTAATTATTGTTGAAAATGATATGTTAAAAAAACTAATAAAAAAAGAGAATTAGGCAGCTCCCAGCAGGTCCTCTACAAAAATTTAAAAAAAGGGCAGCAGAACTTAGGAAGAGCCAATGGCCCATCTGGTCCAGCCTCCTGTTCTCACAGTAGCCAACCAGATGCCCCCAAGGGAAACCCACAAGAGGGATCTGAGCGTGGGAGCAACGCTCCCCTCCTGAGGATTCCAGCAACTGGGATTCACAATGGGCTTCCATCCGTGGAGGCAGAGCAAAGCCATCGTGGCCAAGAGCCACTGATATCCCTCTCCTGCTCCATGGATGTCTCTCATCCTCTTTTAAAGCCAGCCACGAAATTAAAAGATGCCGGCTTCTTGGGAGAAAAGCAATGACAAACCTAGGCAGCATCTGAAAAAGTAGAGACATCACCTTGCCAACAAAGGTCCGTATAGTTCAAGCTCTGGTTTTCCCAGTAGTGATGTGTGGAAGTGAGAGCTGGACCATAAAGAAGGCTGATCACCGAAGAATTGATGCTTTTGAATTCTGGTGCTGGAGGAGACTCTGGAGAGTCCCATGGACTGCAAGAAGATCAAACCTCTCCATTCTGAAGGAAATCAGCCCTGAGTGCTCACTGGAAGGACAGATCCTGAAGCAGAGGCTCCAAGACTTTGGCCACCTCATGAGAAGAGAAGACTCCCTGGAAAAGACCCTGATGTTGGGAAAGATGGAGGGCACAAGGAGAAGGGGACGACAGAGGACGAGATGGTGGGACAGTGTTCTCGAAGCTACCAGCATGAGTTTGACCAAACTGCGGGAGGCAGTGGAAGACAGGAGAGCCTGGTGCGCTCTGGTCCAGGGGGTCACGAAGAGGCGGACACGACTAAACGACTAAACACAAGGTTAGTGGGCTTCATTGCCTCCTGCAGAAAGGAGTTCCACAGATCAACTACAAGCTGCGTCAAGTCGTCCTTCCTTTCACCAGTCCCAAATCTTCCAATGTTCAGCTTCCCTGAATGCCCGTGAGCTCTAGTGCTAGGAGGGAGAAAACCAATCTCTCCATGTCATGAATAATTTTTAGAGATGCTTGCTGATTACCGGTAATTAGCAGTGGCCACCCACCTCCTTCGTCAGCTTCCCGATGCTCTTGTCCAGCAGGCGCTTCTCCTCCTCCAGCTCGTTCTTGGCCCGCTTGAGCTGCTCCTTCTGCGCCAGCTCCTCGTGGAGAGAGGCAGTCAGGTCCTGGTGCTCCCGGGAGAGGCGGTTGAGGCTCCTCTGGGCGTCTTCCAGGCGGCTCTCCAGAGACCTCTTCACCAGAAGCAGCTCCTGTTCCTGGTCAGTGGCGTCCCCCAGAGACTCCTCCATCTGCTTGCGGTCGGACTGGGAACGGGGGGACAACAGCGCAGGAACGTCAAAAAAGGGAGACGGCAGTAGCACATAGCGCAAGAGATTTGCGGCTGGTCCTTCAAGTCCCTCTTAAGGACGCGGGCATTTCGGATCGGTCCCTGTCCACCTACAGTTTAAGGCAGGCTTTCTCAACCTTGGGTTCTCGGATGTCGTTGGACTACCACTCCCATCATCCTGGATTGCTGCCCCTGCTGGCTATGGACGATGGGAATTTTATTCCTCCCCCCCCAATAATTTTTTATTATTTTATTAACACAGTTTTATACAATACAGTGGTGCCCCGCAAGACGAATGCCTCGCAAGACGAAAAACTCGCTAGACGAAAGGGTTTTGCGTTTTTTGAGTCGTTCCGCAAGACGAATTTCCCTATGGGCTTGCTTCGCAAGACGAAACGTCTTGCGAGTTCTTGCGAGTTTGTTTCCTTTTTCTTAAAGCCGCTAAGCCGTTAATAGCCGCTAAGCCGTTAATAGCCGCTAAGCCGCTAATAGCCGCTAATAGCCGCTAAGCGCCGTGCTTCGCAAGACGAAAAAACCACAAGACGAAGAGACTCGCGGAACGGATTAATTTCGTCTTGCGAGGCACCACTGTACAGTGGTACCTCGGGTTAAGTACTTAATTCGTTCCGGAGGTCTGTACTTAATCTGAAACTGTTCTTAACCTGAAGCACCACTTTAGCTAATGGGGCCTCCTGCTGCCACTGCGCCGCCGGAGCACGATTTCTGTTCTCATCCTGAAGCAAAGTTCTTAACCTGAAGCATTATTTCTGGGTTAGTGGAGTGTGTAACCTGACGCGTATGTAACCTGAAGCGTATGCAACCCAAGGTACCACTGTACATCAAACCACATATATACTCTTAGCTCTGCTGAGCTTGTGACTTCCCTCCTTCCTTCAATATGCATCCCTTACTCTTTTAAATCGCGTATTTTAATACTAAACCTCTTTATCTTTACACTGTAGGAGTTATTTCAATCCTGCCAGTGTTTTTAGAGTTTTACAATTATCCTTTAAATGCACCATAAATTTACACCAACTTTCCTGGAATCTCTGATCATCCTGATCCCGAATTCTGGACGATAGGAATTGTAGTCCAACAACATCTGAGAACCCAAAGTTCAGAAAGCCTTGGTTGTCGAACGGCTTGGCTCCCCAACAAATCGGCTCCCCAACACTGCAAACCCGGAAGCGAGTGTTCCGGTTTGCAAATGTTTTTTGGGAGCCGAATGTCCGGCGCAGCTTCCGATTGAGTGCAAGGAGCTCCTGCAGCCAAGCGAAAGCCGCGCCTTGGTTTTTGAACGCTTCCGGGAGTCGAACAGACTCCTGGAACGGATTAAATTTGACAACCAAGGTAATAGTCAGCCTGGATAGGTCAGATGGTTAGGCAGGGGTCAGCAAACTTTTTCAGCAGGGGGCCGGTCCACTGTCCCTCAGACCTTGTGGGGGGCCGGACTATATTTTTTGGGGGGGAAATGAATGAATTCCTATGTCCCACAAATAACCCAGAGATGCATTTTAAACAAAAGCACACATTCTACTCCTGTAAAAACACACTGATTCCCAGACTGTCCGCAGGCCAGATTTACAAGGTGACTGAGTTGGATCCGGCCCATGGGCCTTGGTTTGCCTACCCACGGGTTAGAGCACGGTGCTGGTAATGCCATGGTTGCATGTTCAGTCCCCATATTATTTTTATTATTTTTATTTACTGAATTTATATACCACCCTATACCCAGAGGTTCCCAGGGCGGTTCACAGAACACAATCAAAAAATAAAACCCCATATTGGACAGCTGCATATTCCTGCACTGCAGGGGGTTGGACGAGATGGGCAGCTTTCGGCAAAATATAAAAGCAGAATAAAACACCAAACATTAAGAACTTCCCTATACGGGGCTGCCTTCAGGTGTCTTGCAGTGGTCCTATAGTTATTTATCTGTTTGACACCTGATGGCCCCCCCTTTGCGGGGCTCTGCACCGGGGCTAAGCAAACTGGCTGCCAAGGGTTTAATGATGGAAAACTTCTGCCTGGGTTGGGATACAGTTCCCCGCCACGGTGGGAAAATAAAGAGGCTTGCGAGAAACTGCCCCGACTCTCCCTTGTGATCTTCTCCCGCCCGCCCAGAAAGAAAGGTACCTCCAGTTTGGCAATCTTCTCCTTCAGCCTGGCCTCGGTCCCTTGCCAGTTGTCTGCAAAGTGCCTGTACTCCTTGATCTGAGTCTCCAGGCCAAGGATTTTCCGCCGAAGGTCGTCGTTCTCCTCCTGCGTCTCCCTCAGGGTAGACTCCACGGCTTTCTTCATCTGCTCGGTCGCCTCCTTCTCACCTTCCAAGGAGGACTTTACCTGGTGGTGGTGGGATGGAGGAAAGAGACAAGTAGGTTAATATTTTTTTTTAAAAAAAAGAGTTAGGCATTTAAGTTTTTTATCTGTACTTTTCAAATTTATACATTTCATTAATTTTACAATCTGTTCAACTTTTAATAATTTGACTTCCTTCCCCCTCTTTCTGCAGTTCCTTAAATTGATTTTTTCATATCTTCTGCATATCCAAACTCATGCTACATTTCCAAGATCTACGTCTCTTTTAAATCAGAACCAGGGAAGACGATGAGAGTGCCTGGAGGCGGTTGGAGGATGGATGGCAGCTAACAGATTGAGGTTGAATCCTGACAAGACAGAAGTACTATTTTGGGGGGACAGAGGGCAGGCGAGTGTGGAGGATTCCCTGGTCCTGAATGGGGTAACTGTGCCCCTGAAGGACCAGGTGTGCAGCCTGGGAGTCATTCTGGACTCACAGCTGTCCATGGAGGTGCAGGTCAATTCTGTGTCCAGGGCAGCTGTTTATCAGCTCCGTCTGGGATGCAGGATGAGACCCCAGCTGCCCGCAGACTGTCTCGCCAGAGTGGTGCATGCTCTGGTTATCTCCCGCTTGGACTACTGCCATGCGCTCCACGTGGGGCTACCTTTGAAGGTGACCCGGAAACTGCAATTAATCCAGAATGTGGCAGCTAGACTGGGGACTCGGAGCGGCCGCAGAGACCACATAACACTGGTCCTGAGAGACCCACATTGGCTCCCAGTACGTTTCTGAGCACAATTCAAAGTTTTGGTGCTGACCTTTAAAGCCCTAAATGGCCTCGGCCCAATATACCTGAAGGAGCATCTCCACCCCCATTGTTCAGCCCGGACACTGAGATCCAGCTCCGAGGGCCTTCTGGCGGTTCCCTCCCTACGAGAAGCCAAGTTACAGTGAACCAGGTAGAGGGCCTTCTCGGTGGTGGCGCCCGCCCTGTAGAACGCCCTCCCACCAGATGTCAAGGAAATAAGCAGCTATCTTATTTTTAAAAGACATCTGAAGGAGGCCCTGTTTAGAGAAGTTTTTAATATTTAATGCTGTATTGTTTTTAATACCTGGCCCTGGTGGAGGATAATCTGACTTCCTTAGGGATGTTCTTATGTGACGGGTGGGGGGAGCTGGGCCCTGATGGGAAGGATGGATGCGCCACCCCATGCCCAAGGGCCAAACTTCAACAGAGGGGTGGGGTCAGCTGTGTGTCAATCAACCTGACATCACCGTGGGAACTCTAGGCAGGCAGCTGATTGCCAAGACACACACACACACACACACACACACACCCCGGCAAAAAAACACCAGGGATCCTTGCCTTGAAGGCCTCTTCGTAATCCTTCTGTAGCTGCTGGACGTTCTGCTGGAACTGCTGCTTCATCTCAGCCATTTCCTGGTCGTGGCCGCCCACTTCGTCCTCCAAAGCCTCTTTCAGGGCCAGCAGCTCCCTCTCCCGCTGGTGGAGGACGTCGTCCTGGGCTTGCTTGGACAACGTTAAGTCTCTCAGCTGATCTCGGACCTCACGCAGCTCCTGCCGGAACGAGGGAAAAGGAGGGAATTAGAAAGCCATGCACACACACACACACAAATCCACAGAGCCTGATGGAAGAATAGCAAGCATCCATCGTGGAAGAAAAGAGTTCTCGAGCTACAAGAGATCGGTATGGCCATTAAATTAATAAATACAGTGGTACCTCGGGTTACATACCCTTCAGGTTACATACGCTTCAGGTTACAGACTCCACTAACCCAGAAATAGTACCTTGGGTTAAGAACTTTGCTTCAGGATGAGAACAGAAATCGTGCGGCGGCAGCAGGAGGCCCCATTAGCTAAAGTGGTGCTTCAGGTTAAGAACAGTTTCAGGTTAAGAACGGACCTCCGGAACGAATTAAGTACGTAACCAGAGGTACCATTGTAATAGGTAAAGGTAAAGGGACCCCTGACCGTTAGGTCCAGTCGCGGATGACTCTGGGGTTGCGGCGCTCATCTCGCTTTACTGGCCAAGGGAGCCGGCGTACAGCTTCCAGGTCATGTGGCCAGCATGACTAAGCTGCTTCTGGCGAACCAGAGCAGCGCACGGAAAGGCCACTTACCCTCCCGCCGGAGCGGTACCTATTTATCTACTTGCACTTTGATGTGCTTTTGAACTGCTAGGTTGGCAGGAGCAGGGACCGAGCAACGGGAGCTCACCCCGTGGCGGGGATTCGAACCGCCGACCTTCTGATCGACAAGCCCTAGGCTCTGTGGTTTAGACTACAGCACTAGAGTGAAACAAAAAGCTTCTGTGATTAGCCCCGCCTCCTGTCTGCCCCTGGCCCCGCCCACAGAACCTTTGAACACTCCCCATAAGCCCACCCACACTGCTGCAAGCCAGAGTCTGCCCTAGGAACCCCCGTGAACCGAGCGCACCTTTCTGAGGGCGCTGGCCTCTCCGGAATTGCCAGCGCCGTTCCGGGCCTGATCCGCTTCCTGCCGCACAGCTGCGAAACGCTCCCTCAGCTCCTTCAGCTCCTCCTCAAAGTCCTCGCGTTCCACCTTCACCTGCAACAGCCTGGAGGCGGTCGAAGGAAGGAGAGCCAGAAAAAGGAGGCGTTTAATTGCGATTTGCTAAATTTGCACCTGCCCTGCCACTAAAGGCAAGATAAGTGAAACATCTAATCCAGCGGTTCTCAACCTGTGGGTCTCCAGATGTTGCTGGACTACAACTCCCATCATTCCCGAGCTCTGGCCTTGCTAGCTAGGGGTGATGGGAGTTGTAGTCCAACAACACCTTCTGGACCCACAGGTTGAGAAGGGCTGATCTAAAAGCTGCTAGGACAGATGTTCCAATGGAGGGCAGTGAGATCACCTAGGACAGCGGTTCTCAGAGCAGGCGGTGTGCCACACTGGAGTGGCAGGAGATGACGGCAAGTGTGGCAGGAAGAGTCAAGGGCAATCAAGGAAACATTTAAACCTACTTTACCCCTGTAAATTTCACAAAGATTTATCACAATAGTGATAATCTATGCTGGAAATGTAAAGAACAAGAAGGTACCTTTTATCATATGTGGTGGACCTGTCCCAAGGTGAAAGACTTCTGGGAGAAGATTTATAATGAATTGAAAAAAATGTTGACATATACATTTATTAAGAAACCAGAGGCCTTTCTTCTTGGAATAACAGGTTTGGAATTGCCCAAGAAAGATGTGAGACTGTTTTTGTATGCCACTACTGCAGCTAGAATTTTGTTAGCCAAGAACTGGAAAACACAAGAAGTCCCAACAGTGGAAGAATGGCAGATGAAGATGATGCACTTTTGGGAGCTAGCCGACCTGACTGGAAGAGTCCGCGACGAGAAGGAGGAGTACCAGGAGGAATGGAGGAAATTCAAAGATTATTTAGTTAAATATGTTAAGATAATTTAATTGGAAAAGCTTGTAATTATCAGATAGGCTTAGGATTTAAGTATGTAATGTTAGGAATTAATATGTTTAAAGCTAAAACAGAAAGAAAGAAAGATGTCAAGTGATTAAGTTAATTTTATGAGAAAATTGGTTTTGGAAAACTGTTAAAATGATATACACTGAAATTCAACTAGGGGGATTCGAGGAAGTCTCTTAACAATGTCACTAAGAATACAGCTGAGATTTATGTTTGTTTGTTTAATTTTTTCTAAAAAATCAATTAAAAAATTGGAAAAAAACCAAGGAAACATTTAAACCTTTCAGTGTAGTGTAGTATCAAAATATTTGGGTGTTTTTTTAATTTGCAGAATATGGATTCAAAAGCATTGGCTATCCTCCCAGAGACATATTGTTTCGAACAGGGGTTTTCAGCTCTGACAAATACCAAAGGTCAGAAAAGACAAAGGCTTCTTTGTGTTGATGAGGAGATGAAAGTTTCTCTGTCTCAAATTAGACCTCATGCAAATGAGATTGCCCGGCCAAAGCAAGCACACACCTCTCACTGAGCTTGCATACATACTTCAGGTACATAAGTCAGAGGCTCGTTTATATTTCGGGAATTATATTTCGTGCTTTTATGTAGCTGTGCTGTTTATACTTTCTGCATGCCCCATGAGCATACTATAAAGTCACTGTATTCTATGTCAGAAATCAAGCACTGCGAGGAGTTTTAGCTTTTGTTTTCCAACGTGTTTCTTATCGATTAAAAACAACAACCACCACATCAGTTTGGCACCAGCAAATTTTTGTTCTGGAAGTGTGGTCCAGAGGAAAAAGTTTGAGAACCACTGACCTAAGCGGAGGTGACTTTGAAAAACAGGGGCCTCTGGATCAAATTCACCTGTTTGGTTGAATTAAACTAAATCGTTTAATTGGATTTTGTATCCCATTAATTCTTTTGAATGTTTTTTAAAAAAAATTAATTTAATTTAATTTAATTTCCATGCTTATTACATACAAAAAAAAAGGGAACAATACTGAAAAGGGCATACAACTTAAGAGGGGAGGGAAGAGGAAATAAAATGAAATTTACACAATCTGATATTAAGATAAAAATTATGACAAAAATTTGTGGTTACAATTTCATGTTACAATAAAAGTAAAAAAATCCCATTATCTTTCATACCCAACTTCCCATTTATTCCTTAATTCTTTTTACATAAATTTACTGCCATATCAAAATACTATTTTTAAAATTCTTTTGAATGTTACTTAGTGGGTCTTCCTTAGTGGGTCACGGGAAGCCCTATTCAGAAGAATCCTTTTTTATGTGATAGGGTAGGGGCACTGCGGATGAGTTTATGAAACCAAGGGGGCAGTGGGACCCCCCAAAAAATGTGGAAAGTGCTGTCTAGGCTGCCCCTCGCTACAGAAGCCTAAAAGGCTGAGGCACTATATGTGGGGGACTTGTCCCAAGGAGAAAGACTTCTGGGAAAAGATTTATAATGAATTGAAAAAATTGTTGAAATATACATTTACTAAGAAACCAGAGGCCTTTCTACTTGGAATAATAGGTTTGGAATTTCCCAAGAAAGATGTTAGATTGTTTTTGTATGCCACAACTGCAGCTAGAATCTTGCTGGCCAAAAACTGGAAATTACAAGAAATACCAACAGTGGAGGAATGGCAGATGAAGATGATGGACTTTTGGGAGCTAGCTGACCTGACTGGAAGGATCTGCGACCAGAAGGAGGAGGAGTACCAGGAGGAATGGAAGAAATTTAAGGACTATTTAGTTAAATACGTTACGATAATTTAAATAGAATTACTTGCGAGTATCAGATTGGCCTAGGATTTAAATATGTGATGTTGTAGAATACTATGTTTAAAAGTTAAAATGAAAGAAAGAAAGACGTTAATGGATTAAGATGTTAATGGATTAAGTAAATTTTATGTGAACTCAGTTTATGTGAACTGCTACAATGATTTACATGGAAACTCAGCCAGGGGGGATTCGAGAAAGTCACTTAGTAACTATAACAAAAGTGGAATTTTTACAGTCAGGATATATGTGTGTTTGTTTGTTTGGTGTTTCCTTTTTTATGTTTGTGGATATATTTGTTATAAATTTGGAAAAATATAGTTAAATTTTTTTTGAAAAAAAATAAAAGGCTGAGGCCCTGAGAAAAACGCAGGACACACCAGCGCATAAAAATAAATTGGCTCAATTTTTAAAGATTTGGGGAGGAATCGAGGGACGGTGGGGACGGGACAACTCACTCCTGCTTGGTGCTTCGCAGCTCGTCCTTATTCTTCTGGAACATCTCCTTCCAATGGGCGGCCTCCTCGCCGCTCTCCTGCAACTCCCTCTGGAGATTTCTCACCACGGTGTTGATCTTTTGCCTCTCCGACTCCAGGCTGGCCTGATCCTGGCAAGAGACGAGAAGAAGCAAAGCTACGATTTCCCCCACGTGCAAAAGCAGGCTGGCACTTGAAGCTTGCAGCAAAAGGCAGCGCCGTCTAGCAAGCCCGAAGGTGGCAGGATAGCTTGGACGGCGCATGTGTGCGCTATGCGCAGCTCCGGACTCAAACAGATGGGGAACCGGCCCAGGAGATTAATAATAATAATAATAATAATAATAATAATAATAATAATAAATTATTTGTACCCCACCCATCTGGCTGGGTTTCCCCAGCCACTCTGGGTGGCTTCCACAAAGACCAAAAATACACTAATATGTCATACATTTAAAACTTCCCTGAACACAGCTGCCTTAAGATGTCTTCTGAATGACAGGTACTTGTTTATCTCTTTGACATCTGATGGGAGGGCGTTCCACAGGGCGGGCGCCACCACCAAGAAGGCCCTCTGCCTGGTTCCCTGTAACTTGGCTTCTCACAGTGAGGGAACAGCCAGAAGGCCCTCAGCACTGGACCTCAGTGTCCGGGCAGAATGATGGAGGTGGAGACGCTCCTTCAGGTATACTGGGCTAAGGCCGTTTAGGGCTTTAAAGGTCAGCACCAACACTTTGAATTGTGCTTGGAAACATCCTGGGAGCCAATGTAGGTCTTTCAAGACCGGTGTTATATGGTCTCGGCGGCCGCTCCCAGTCACCAGTCTAGCTGCCGCATTTTGGATTAATTGCAGTTTCCGGGTCACCTTCAAAGGTAGCCCCACGTGGAGTGCATGGCAGTAGTCCAAGCGGGAGATAACCAGAGCATGCACCACTCTGGCGAGACAGTCTGCGGGCAGCTGGGGTCTCATCCTGCATCCCAGACGGAGCTGATAAACAGCCGCCCTGGACACAGAATTGACCTGTGCCTCCATGGACAGCTGTGAGTCCAGAATGACTCCCAGGCTGGGCACCTGGTCCTTCAGGGGCACAGTTACCCCATTGAGGACCAGGGAGTCCTCCACACCAGGAAGTATGATGCCTGCTGCTATCCTGCCTAATGGTAGGACCGGCCCTGTTTGTCAGCGGCGACTGGTGTCGGGAAGATGATTCTGGGGCACAAAGGACGCTTGCTGTCTCATTCTGCCTGAAGTGAAGGCCCAAGACAGGTGTTGATCATCATGTGAGCTGCGCACAGGTGGTCTGAAGCGAGCTACCACCATTCCTGTGGAGCCTCCTTTTATTGAGACAAATATGCAAGCTAGGCAGATACATTCTGTGCTGTGACCTTTACGCATCTTCCGTCCCGAGATCGTGGGGTGGTACATAGCTATTTTGGCACCTGTTTCCACAGTGTCATTTTCCCCTTGCACAGTGTATGACGTAGGAAACAAAAGGTCTCTAAGGAAAAAGGTTACATACAGGACACTGCTGACGGCTGAGACCGCAAAAGGTCAGACGCAGGGGACGATGTTCTAGACAGCTTGTGGCTTGTCTGAGGGGGGGTTTTCCCTCCGCCCCAGGGTCACGCATGCAGGCAGACGTGGCTGCCTGCTGGTGGAAAGTGTGCTCCCTCCGGCCCCCACTGTCCACTCGGCGATATCCCTACACTGCCTAATGGCAGGGCCGGCCCCCAGAGGAAGTCTTATGTCTGTAAATGGTGAACAGGGTCAGGGCGGTGATTCTTGGGCATAAAGGATGTTTTGTCGTCTCCCTCTGCCTAATGGTAGGACCGGTCCCTGGACAAGATGTCTATTTAAGTGATGGCCTGGATCAGCACAATGGTCCATGGGCTATAAAGGATGGGCCCGCTGTGCCAGGTTTTTCTAACACACTGCCTTATCTCCAACTCTGACCAAATGGCTCTGACTGGCAGCATAATAATAATAATAATGTTAATAATAATAATAATAATAATAATACAGTGGTGCCTCGCAAGACGAAAAGAATTCGTTCCGCGAGTCTTTTCGTCTTGCGATGTTTTTCGTCTTGCGAAGCACGGTCCGTCGCACCTGCGCCTCTTCAAGCGGCTTTTAAAAAAAAGCGCAATACGTTTTTGTCTTGCGAAGCAAGCCCATAGGGAAATTCGTCTAGCGAAGCAACGCAAAACTGAAAAACCCTTTCGTCTAGCGAGTTTTTCGTCTTGCAAGGCATTCGTCTTGCGGGGCACCACTGTAATAATAATTTATTTATACCCCATCCATCTGGCTGAGTTTCCCCAGCCACTCTGGGCAGCTCCCAGTCAAGGGTTAAAAACAATACAGCATTAAATATTAAAAGCTTCCCTAAACAGGGCTGCCTTCAGATGTCTTTTAAAGAGAAGATAGTTGCTTATTTCCTTCACACCTGGTGGGAGGGCATTCCACAGGGCAGGTGCCACCACCGAGAAGGCCCTTTGCCTGGTTCCCTGTAGCTTTGCTTCTCGCAATGAGGGAACTGCCAGAAGGCCCTCGGCGCTGGACCTCAGTGTCTGGGCAGAACGATGTGGAGAGTTCACATAAAAGCAGACATGAGGATCTATGTCTTGCCACCGAGACTGTGGGTGAGGGCCCGTAACCTGCCTGGTATCCCTGCACACAGAAAACTAGCCTGTCAGGGAGAGGACAGGCCTCTTATCCCTGATGTGCTAGATTTCTAAGTGCGAGGGGCTTCGTTTTCATTCACAGAAAGAAAGCCATCTACGTGGGCCTCCCATCTGCAACTGGAGATGGTCAAACCCAACAAGCTCACCTGCGACACGTCCTCCATGTTACGCCGGAGCTGCTCCATGTCGTGCTGGTACTCCTGTCGCACCCGGTCCAGCTCCCGGTCGTGACTGGCCACCTCCTCCTTCAGGGCCCCCTTCAGGGCCGTCAACTCCCTCTCCCGCTGGCGCAGGTGATCCTCCAGCTTCTGCCGGGCCCTCAGAACCTCCTCTAGCTCCTCTCTGGTCTCCAGCAGCTCCTGGGGAAAGAGGGCACAACTGGCTCTCAAACCATCGGCTCAGCCTTGCCAGGCCGGCTCCATCAGGCACCTTCTGGCACTGAATTGGGCCAGCATTTAGAGCTTGACTTTTTCCTCTTCCCTCCGTGTCCCTTTTTCCTTGCGTGTTGTGGTTGTTGAGTGGTTGTATTTGTTGTTTTTAAGATTATAAGTTTGATTATAAGGGACTGTCAAAAATAAGCCACTCTGCTAGCCATTTTGGATGAAGAGCAAGGGTGAAGGTAAAGGGACCCCTGACCATTAGGTCCAGTCATGGCCGACTCTGGGGTTGCAGCGCTCATCTCGCTTTACTGGCCGAGGGAGCCGGCGTACAGCTTCCGGGTCATGTGGCCAGCAGGACTAAGCCGTTTCTGGCGAACCAGAGCATCGCACGGAAACGCACTTTACCTTCCCGCCGGAGTGGTACCTATTTATCTACTTGTACTTGACGTGCTTTTGAACTGCTAGGTTGGCAGGAGCAGGGACCGAGCAACAGGAGCTCACCCCGTCGTGGGTATTCGAACTGCCGACCTTCAGCAAGTCCTAGGCTCTGTGGTTTAACCCACAGCGCCACCCGCGTCCCATGAAGAGCAAGGGTACAAATGCTCTAAATAAGCAAATAAATAATTTGCAAAACAAAGCCTGCGCCTACTTGGAGTTTTTCTTAGAACAGGGGTGAGCAACTTCAGGCACAGATAACCTACCTGGCCCTCAGGAATCTCCCCAAACCACATCCCATTTCATCCTCACAAACAACCCTGTGAAATAGGTTAGGGCAAAATACAACGATTGGCCCAAGATCACGCCTAAGCGAGCTTCATGGCTGAGTAGGGATTTGAACTCTGGTCTCCCAGGCCTGGGGGAACCTTTTGCCCCCCAGATGCTGACCAACTACAACTCCCATCAGCCGCTGCAACATCTGGAGGGCCAAAGATCCCCCACACCTGGCCCTTGTCCAACACTCTTAACCACAAAAGTGGTTTTGCTTTTCTTCCTATAGACATAGAAATGTAAGGCTGTCGTCATGCAGGAAGAGCTGTTCGATCGTGGAATGGACTCTCTCAGAACGCAGTGAACTCTCCTATGCTGGAAGTTTTAAATCCAAAATTGGGAGGAGGGGCACCTGTCAGGAATTATTGAGCTGTGATTCCTTCATTGCAAGGGGTTAGACTAGATCAGCCCCAGGGTCCCTTACACACCTACAGCTCTGTGATTCTATTACACTGGCATGTTGCAGAGGTACCCAGAGGCTCCAGGGAGCCACTTACTTTCAGCAGAGCATCCCTGTCTGGAGAATCTCCCATCGGCTCCCGGAACCGGTCCAGCTCCTCTTGCATCTCCATCAGCTGGTCTTCCAAGTCGGCCAACTTGGCTTCTGTCTCTTCCTTGATTGTTTTCATGTCCTTCAGCCTTAAGAATCAGGAAGGAGGAAAGAGAAGGGGGTGGGAGTTCATCTTAACTGTGCCGGGTAGGGCTAGAGGCGTCAGAAATAATAATAATAATAATAATAATAATAATAATAATAATAATAATAATTTATTTATATCCCGCCCTCCCCAGCCGAAGCCAGGCTCAGAGCAGCTAATAACAATAAAAGTAACACAGCATTCTAAAATCAATTCTTTCTAAAATCAATTCAGAATCAAATTGATGGCAACCATTGGGCTAGAGTGCTATGAGGATTACAGAAGGAGGGAGTCAGACTGTGCCTTGGCCAAAGGCCTGGTGGAACAGCTCTGTCTTGCAGGCCCTGCGGAAAGATGTCAAGTCCAGCAGGGCTCTGGTCTTTTGGGACAGAGTGTTCCACCAGATCGGGGCCACAACCAAAAAAGCCCTGGTTGAGGCCAGCCTAACCTCCCTGTGGCCCGGGACCTCCCAGATGTTTTTGTTTGAAGACCGTAAGGTCCTCCGTGGGACACACCAGGAGACGCAGTCCCATAGGTACGTGGGTAACTATCAGACTTTGAAAAGCCGGCATGACTTGATCAAGTTCAATTTTGTCAAATCAATTACGCCAAACAGTTTTCATCGGATTGCAACTCATTCCTATTTTTGAACTTGATTGTGTTGTTGTTGTTATTGTTCATCTTCCTTAGTGGGATGTGCAAGCCGCTAGTCTGAATAATGCTTTTTGTAGGGTTGGGGACTACTGGAGTAGAGGATTAAATCAAAGCCCTTCTGCTGTGTCCTTGCCTACAAAGTTTATTCACCCCGTGAGCCTGCAATACAAGTGTGACCGAGACCGCAAGTGACACAGGCGAGTGTGATGGCCTGGGACTCGGGCTCGGAGCCAGAGGAGTCTCAGTCTGCACCGGATCCTTTGCCTCACGCGGCGTCTGAACCAAGTCTGGGGCCTGATCCTGAAGAGCCCCAGTCTGCACAGGTTCCCCTGCAATAAGCACCAGCTGGGCTGAGTCAGGGGCCTGAGCCTGCCCTGGCTCCAGATGCGGGGATGACCTCGTTGCCTTCAGCTGGGCCATCCCTTACAGCTGCTCCACTACTGGTTGGGTCAGGAGAGGCTGAGGCAGCCTCTGGGTCTAGTAACCCACCAACGTCTCCCAAGCTGTAGAGACTGAGGTCTGAGAGAAGGAGAGACCTGAGTACTCGCAGGAGGAGTGCTCGCCTTCAGGCGAGACAGGGAGGTGACTCACCGAGGGATCAGGACCGGCCGCTACCCCGACAGAGATAAAAAGCTGTCGGACCCCGCCCCAGGTTGCGGGAGCAACGTTGCTGTTTGCCAGTACCTGTCTGTGATCCTGTACCTGACCTTGCCTTGTGTCCTGCCTTGGCCCTGCCGGACTGACTCCTTGGATTCGGGACGGGACCTGGACCGCGTTGCTCGGGTTACCCCTGGGCCCAGAACAGCGAGGCTGCATGGCGGCGACAGTGGCAAGAGCTGCGATTCGGCCGCAGCCAACTCTGCTCCCCCTCCCCCAGCCCTCTGGATCCAGAAACGGCAGATCTGGACGCTGCGGCTGGAGCTCAGATCCATCCCTCTTCCACCCAGGTGCTATGTGATGTATTTTCTACCCTTTCCTCCTGGGCGCCACCTGGTGGTGGTGGGCGGGGCCAGAGGCAAAAGTGGGAGGGGCAACACATGCAAATTTCTGCCTCTGTATAGCAGCCCTGCTTCCCTCTTTCCCCCCAAAGGTATGGTATATCCTTTTTTGCGTGGAGACCTTCAGGTGACAAGAGCCCCCACCTGAAGGAGGGCAGGATTCAGGTGCAACCTGGGGGTCTTGAGATCTGGAGGGAAGGGTGGGCTTGCACTTAACTCGGGGGGAGGGTTCCCTCCAAAAGCCCCCCACAGATTTGCACTTACTCTTGTACGCTGCCCTGGAGCTCCTGGCTTTTCTTCTCAAAGGCCACCCGCAGCCGGTGGCACTCCTCTTCCGACTCCTCCAGCCGGACCTCCAGGTCGTGGGGGGCGCCGCTCCTGTGGCCGTTTTGCAACAGCTCCAACCTCTGACGGAGCTGCAATGGGGGGGGGCGATGAAAGAAAGAAAATAAATAGGCCCAGAATGCAACCATCTACAGGTTTTTTTTCCAGATGTTCCGGCAATACCCAGAAGCCTCTGCTTCCACAGCTTGGATGGGAAGGCGTGACAAATATGGTGGCCACAAACCCACCGACTGGGGAGCAGTGGGGAGGGGAGGAAGGAGCAGAGACCCCAGGCACCTAACCCCAGTATTGTCTACACTGACTGGCAGAGGCTCTCCAGGGTTTCAGGCAGGGAACGTTCCCAGGCCTACCTGGGGATACTGAGGATTGAACTTGGGATCTTCTGCATGCCAAGCATTTGCTCTACCACCGACCTACATGCCGCATTTTAGATATACCATATTTTTTGCTCCATAAGACGCACTTTTCCCCTCCTAAAAAGTAAGGGGAAATGTGTGTGCGTCTTATGGAGCGAATGCAGGGGGGGAGGCAGGCAGGAAAAGCCCCCAGGAGCCGCGCACAAGCTCCGCACGGCTCTTGCGGGCTTTTCCCCAGGAGGGAGAAGGGACTGATGCGGCCAGTCAGTCCCTTCTCCCTCCTCGTAGAAAAGCCCGCAGGAGCCGCACACTCCTTAAAGGCTGCGTGGCTCCTGTGGGCTTTTGCGGGAGGTGGGGGTATTGCCACAGCCGCACACAGCCCCTCCAGCCGGGAGAGGCTGCATGCGGCTATGGCAGAAGCCAAGACAGAAGCTGTCTTGGCTTCTTTGCTCTTTGGGGCGGGGAGGATAATTTTTTTTCTCTTGATTTTCCCCTCTAAAAACTAGGTGCGCCTTATGGTCCGGTGCGCCTTATGGAGCGAAAAATACGGATATGTGTTAAGTTTCTAGTCCTTGTGGTTTTAAGGAGATGGCTGTACTAAATGAGAACAGAGGAGGCTGCCTTGTACTGGGCCAGCCCCTTAGCCCATGCAGCTCAGGGCTGCCCGACACTGGCTGGCAGAAGCAGGGGACATTCCTAGGGCTACCTGACGACACCTGGGGCCTTCTACATGCAAAGCAGGTGCGCTGCCCCTGGAGACACAGCACCTCTCTACCTAAAGATAAGGGCAAGACTCCGGTCCTCATGTTTCTGAATTGAGGGCTGATTCTAAACAGGGAACAGGAAACACTCCTTTTTTCCGGGAGACTGAATCTGGGACCTCCTGCCTGCAAGTCAGGAAGGAGAACAATGGCCCCATGTGTTCTGTTTCTTGTTTGTTTTGAGTAGGACCATGTCCTCAGGGAAAAGACAGTACAGGTGAGACTCTTGTTCCAACAAAAGGGGAAGAGGTGCTGTTGCAGGAATTTATGTATAGGTTGGGGGGGGGGGTTGCCCCTCCAGCAGATATCAGGCACACGCAGCCCACTACCAAAACCAGCACAATCGCTTTTGTGACTTTTGTGACTTGTCCCCACAAAACACTTCATCGCAGTTTCTTCCTATCTATTCAAAGGGCCTTTGCTGCACGATGCCAAATGTAAGAATTCACTGATAAATGTCTCTCTGTACTGGCTCACTGGGAAAACTTCAGAAATTCATATAGACACATGAGCTCAGCTACTCAGCAGCCCCTCTGCCTGAGTGATAATCCCTGGCCTCCTGATACCTGAGGGCCAGACAGGTAGCCATTCCAGAAACAACAAACCCAGATGAAGACAAAAGGGTGTGATTAACTTGGCTGGGAAACAGGGAAATGTAAATATCTCTTTTGTTACACTTGATGGGTGTTTGGTGGAGGGCAAGGGGAACCATGGGACAGGGTCCAGGATGCTCAGATTCCTGCCACCAGACCTCCCCTTTCATGATGTAACCGTGATGTATGAGTGATGTAGTTTGGGGGGGTGTAACATGGGGATTAGCAGCTAATAAAAGTTTGGGGGCTCTTTTGTTTGGGGCTTCCATCTTGTTCCACCTGGTGGCAGGTGGGAGTCCTGTCGCAACAGTCTTCAATAAAGACCAAGCCGACTGGCTGCTGTTTTGCTCTGGTATTCCTGGCTGGTGTCCTTGTTTTTTGCCCAAGAGAGCCCTCAGATTTCTCCGTTAACAATGCCAACACACCTTGGTTTCCTCGTCCAACTTCCGCTGCAGCTCCTCCACCTTCTGCGTCAGTTCGCCCGCCGGGGGGAGAGAGGCCGTCGACTGTGCCGTGGGGGCAGCCTTCCCAGAAAAGAAGGGGGGAGAGAAGCAAAGGGCATCAGATGGGGAGACGCTGGAGACCACCACCATCGCAAGAAAACCATAACCTGGACGTGCGTGTTGAGCCCACTTTTATCTACGCTCTATACAGCTGACTGTGCCCCCAAATACCCCAGTAATAAGATCATTAAGTTTGCAGATGATACAACGGTGGTTGGTTTAATCACGGCTGGAGAGGGGGAGGCGGCCTTTAGGAAGGAAGTTGAGCAGTTGGGGGAGTGGTGCAGGAAAAACAACTTACTCCTTAACTTAAAGAAAACAAAAGAGATTATTGTGGACTTTAGGAAATGTAAATTGAACATTCAGCCACTTATTATTGAGGGGAAGTGCGTGGAACAGGTCTCGGTGTTTCGATTTCTGGGAATGGAGTTGAGAGATGACCTAACCTGGGGAGAAAACAGCAAAGACCTGAAGAAGAGAGCACAGCAGAGGTTATATTTTCTGAGAATCCTCCGGAAAAACAATCTCTCAAAGGACCTGTTGATGGCATTTTACCATTGTGCTGTTAAGAGTGTATTAACTTATGGTCTGTGTGTGTGGTTTGGGAGCTGCACGGCCAGGGGGAAACAGTGCTGTCCAGGGTTGTAAAGACTGCGGAGAGAATAATTGGGTGCCTTCTTCCCACCTTAGATCAAATCTATGCTATCAGGTGCCATAAGAAAGCTGCAAAGATAGTGCAGGATAGTGCGCACCCCGGAAATGATCTCTTTCAGCTTCTGCCTTCTGGAAGAAGGTACAGGGTTATAAAGACCAGGACTAGCCACCTGAGAAACAGTTTCTACTCAGATGCAATTCTGGTTTTAAACGCGGTATAAGGACTGCAAGAAGATCAAACCCATCCATCCTTAAGGAAATCAACCCTGAGTGCTCACTGGAAGGACAGATCCTGAAGCTGAGGCTCCAAGACTTTGGCCACCTCATGAGAAGAGAAGACTCCCTGGAAAAGACCCTGATGTTGGGAAAGATGGAGGGCACAAGGAGAAGGGGATGACAGAGGACGAGATGGTGGGACAGTGTTCTCGAAGCTACCAGCATGAGTTTGACCAAACTGCGGGAGGCAGTGGAAGACAGGAGGGCCTGGCGTGCTCTGGTCCATGGGGTCACGAAGAGTCGGACACGACTAAACGACTAAACAACAAAATAAGGAGTCTCTATAGTATATTGTATTTTAAGATGGGGTTTCAGAGTTTTTAGGGGTTTTAGAATGTCTTACGTAGATTTTTCAATTTCGCTGTTCTGTATGGGACAATGACAATAAAGATATCGTATCGTATCGTCTGCCCCAGCCCCCCTGGGACTGAGAACGAGGCAGCCGCATGACCCCCACCCCGCGAAGCTCTCCACTTTGAAATGTAAAGCTTGGGCAAGCAGCCTTCTTGCACCCGAGGCCCTTTCCACATCCCTTCAACCGGAGAGTCATCTGTTTGCGGCCTCCCTCTGCCCTCAAGCAGCCGGTCCTCATGAGGTGTCAGTTTCAATAGAGAGAGAAAGAGATCCCTGTCAAGAAACGAGGGCTGGAGGGAGGGCAGGAGAGAGAGCAAGATTTGCCGGGAGAACTCTTTAAAAAAAGAACTGAAGTTTGCAAAAAGAAAGATGTTTGGGTTCATGTTTGAAAAAGTGCTAACAGCCCGGAAGATGCACAGCAGGAATTCATCACTATCTGAAGCTAAGCAGAGATCAAAGCTTCTGGGCTTTGAAATGGTTTCATCCAAACTCTTGCTGACACAAGGATTGTTTTTCCTCTGCAAAATATTCGCTGTAAAAAGAAATTCTACTTTACCCCACAGAGTAGAGGACTGGCAGGCGGGAGTTAATCCGTCCCTTTTCCACGTTTCGGGGGTCTCATGTGGAAAGTGGGGAGAAGAGAGACTAGTTTTGGTTGGATAGGGCAATGGGAAAAAGCTGCCCCCCATATCAGCAGGAAAATCCTCTTTCTTTGTGGAGAAAATACATTCAAAAATAATAATAATCACCTTCCCAGTAAAGAGAGCAATTGTCGTTCCAGGCCTGGTACAACCAGTGCTTTTTTTCCCCTAGAAGAAATGTTTAGGGGTCCTCTCATTTTCCTACTCATATTAAAATACTGCCCCTCAATGAGGCCAAACTTAGATTTGTTTAGGGGTATGTGTACCCCTGGGTCCCCACAGGGGACAACTCTAGACAACCCACAAGATGAAGTCTTATTGAGGCTGAGGGGACTGGGGTCCTGAGTTTGGGTCCTGCCTCTCAAAAGAAAGTAGGGCTCCAGCCCTCATAATTCCAAAGAAAAGGCTGGTTTAAAGAGGGGAGGAAGCTAACTTAATACAAGCCACTGGGCCTGTCTAGCTCAGCATTGCCAACACTGGCTGGCAGCAGGGTTTCAGGCAGCGGGGAGATTTCCAGTCTAGCTGGGGATACCAGGGATCGGATCTGAGAGGTTTTGTATAATAGAGTGGGGACTCTTGCACTGAGCTCGTGGTTTGCACCATGAGACCCTCCCTGCCCACAGACTGTCTGCCCAGAGTGGCGCATACTCTAGTTATCTCCCGTTTGGACTACTGCAATGCGCTCTGTGTGGGGCTACCTTTGAAGGTGACCCGGAAACTGCAACCAATCCAGAATGCGGCAGCTAGACTGGGGACTGGGAGTGGGCACCAAGACCATATAACACCAGACTTGAAAGACCTACACTGGCCCCCAGTACGTTTCTGAGTACAATTCAAAGTGTTGGTGCTGACCTTTAAAGCCCTAAACGGCCTCGGTCCAGTATACCTGAAGGAGCGTCTCCACCCCCATCGTTCTCCCCGGACACTGAGGTCCAGCACCGAGGGCCTTCTGGCGGTTCCCTCCCCGCGAGAAGCAAACCTACAGGGAACCAGGCAGAGGGCCTTCTCGGTGGTGGCGCCCGCCCTGTGGAACACCCTCCCACCAGATGTCAAAAAGAAAAATAACTACCAAACTTTTAGAAGACGTCTGAAGGCAGCCCTGTTTAGGGAAGCTTTTAACGTTCAATAGGTTCTTGTATTTTAGTGTTTTGTTGGAAGCCGCCCAGCGTGGCTGGGGAAACCCAGCCAGATGGGCGGGGTATAAATAATAAATTATTATTATATTATTATTATTGCACACAGGCTCCAGGTTAGATTCCTGGCGTCTCCAGTTAGTAGCCGATAGTAGAGAAAGGCTTTCTCAGCCAGAGACCCTGTCCATCAGAGCTTAGCAGACAATATTAGTCTCAAGGAACGATGTTTCTTGCTTGGTGGAAGGAAGTTACAAATGGAAACTCTGGGAAAATCCGGTTTTTGGGTTTCCCACAGTGGCTGGCCACTGTGAGAACAGGATGCTAGCTAGATGGGCCATTGGCAAGCTGGGCTCTCCTTAAGTTCTTTGTATAGTGTGCACTGGGATTAACGCAGAGCTTAGCTATTCCTTTCTTAAAAGGCAGGCTTTTAAGGCCTATCCTTTCCCTTAATCCCTTCGAGACCTCCTTGGCATGGTCTCCCAAGAACACAGTAAATAAATCTCCACAATCAAACTGTAACCATCCCAGGCTCAGGAGAACCCGAGGGCAAGTTCCTAGTCCTCATTGTTCTGGGGAGAAGCCCGGGAATATTGGCATCCCGGCGGAACGGATGTGGGTTCAGTAGTCTGTCCTTGTGTCCACCTCGCCCCCAACCCAAGAACTGGGACGCATCGACCAGAGAGAGGGCAGGAATCACGCCAAGGAGGAAATGATTTTGTCTCACAGCTGTGACCTGGTGTTTTCCGCCAGGTACTTACGGATAGCGCTTGGACCTTCTCGAAGACAAGGTTGGTCTTTCTCTTCACCGCGGCATCGCTTTCCGTGTTTCTGAAAGTGACAAAAACGTTAAAAAAAACAAATAAAACCAACTAGCTCAGCTTAGAATGAAAATCACCAGCATGTCAAATCTTGTTATTCTAAATAGGATCCAGCAGAGCCCCGTGTGTGTTTGTGTGCTCCTAAACTGTAATCCAAACATTTACAAAAAATTTTACAGCAGACCCAGATAGGGTTAGGGACGCGGGTGGCGCTGTGGTCTAAACCACTGAGCCTCTTGGGCTTGCCGACTAGAAGGTCAGCAGTTCGAATCCCCGCGACAGGGTGAGCTCCTGTTGCTCGGTCCCTGCTCCTGCCAACCTAGCAGTTCGAAAGCACGTCAAAGCGCAAGTAGATAAATAGGTACCACTCCGGCGGGAAGGTAAACGACGTTTCCGTGCGCTGCTCTGGTTCGCCAGAAGCAGTTTAGTCCTGCTAGCCACATGACCCGGAAGCTGTACGCCGGCTCCCTCGGCCAGTAAAGCGAGATGAGCGCCGCAACCCCAGAGTCGGCCACGACTGGACCTAATGGTCAGGGGTCCCTTTACCTTTACCTTTTACCAGATAGGGTTAAAATATGGCACACACTGGCAAGACGCAAATAAATAAGTCATCTGTGCATCGTATTATATTTTAATTTGCTCCTGTGAAATGTCTTTTAAAATAAAATAGCAATAATAGTAGTTCTTTTAATTTTTTTAAGGGATTAAACCCCCATTTGTGAAGAACGGACCGATGAATGGGTATGATGACTAAATGGAGCTTCCAGATTCAGGAGCAATCTACCAGGCGCAGTTGCCTCCATGCCCCTCCCCATACATCCGATTGGTCACAGCCCCTCCTCTGCTCCCGCCCCAACGCTTACCCATCCTTCAGAATACTGTAGATGAGCTCCTTAGTGTGGTTGCTGCTTCCGGGCTGAGATACCTCTTGCTGGTCCTTCAGGAGGTCTGGGGTGGACTTCAGCTGGAAGGGAAACCCCAAAGATTAAACCCCAGCGTTTTTGAGAGGGAGGGAAGCAGTGTTTTCAAAAGGCTGCTGCCAGTCAGACAACACAGGGCTAGACTAGGGCACAGGAAACAGCCTTGGTCCATCTGGATGAGCGCTGACCACTCTGATGGGCAGCGGCTCCCAAGGGTTTCAGGCAGTGGACATGTTCATGCTGCCAAGAGACGTCAAAGATTGAACCCAGGACCTTATAACAGGTGTTCACCAATATGCAGATGATATCTCTCGTTTAAATTGGAAGCAGGGAAGGCGGTGAATGTCCTGTGTGAGTGTCTGGAGGTGATTGGGGGGTGGTGGACGGCAATTAACGGATTGAGGTTGACTCTTGACAAGACAGAAGTACTGTTCTTGGGGGACAGGAGGCGGGCGGGTGTGGAGGACTCCCTGATCCTGAATGGGGTAACTGTGCCCCCAAAGGACCAGGTGCGCAGCCTGGGAGTCATTTTGGACTCGCAGCTGTCCATGGAGGCACAGGTCAATTCTGTGTCCAGGGCGGCTGTCTACCAGCTCCATCAGGTACGCAGGATGAGACCCTACCTGTCTGAAGACTGTCTTGCCAGAGTGGTGCATGCTCTGGTTATCTTTCGCTTGGACTACTGCAATGCGCTCTACGTGGGGCTACCTTTGAAGGTGACCCGGAAACTACAACTAATCCAGAATGTGGCAGCTAGACTGGTGCCTGGGAGCGGCCGCCGAGACCACATAACACCGGTCTTGAAAGACCTTCATTGGCTCCCGGTACACTTCCGAGCACAATTTGAAGTGTTGGTGCAAACCTTTAAATAAGTAATAAGCAAATAAATAATAATAATAATAATAATAATAATAATATAAAGCCCTAAGCGGCCTCGGCCCTGTAACTGAAGGTCCTGCTCCGAGGGCCTTCTGGTGGTTCCCTCCCTGCGAGAAGCCAAGTTACAGGGAACCAGGCAGAGGGCCTTCTCAGTGGTGGCACCCGCCGTGTGGAACGCCCTCCCACCAGATGTCAAGGATATACTATTTTCAGAAGACATCTGAAGGCAGTGCTGTATATGGAAGTTTTTAATGTTTTGAGGTTTGATGTCCAGTCCAACCCCCTGAAATGCAGGATTCTCAACGAAAGCACCCATTACAGATGGGCATCCAGCCTCGGTTTGAGGTCTCCATTTGCTGGAAGCAAACTCCCATTATCCTTAGCTAGCAGGACCAGTGGCCAGGGATGATGGGTCTTGTAGTCCAATTAACATTTCTTAGCGATTGCTGATCTTATGCTACTTGAGGTACCTGTTAGGACCATTCATATGGCATGTATTCATTATTTATGATTGGTTACGTTTACAGGATTGTCGTTCTTATATTTATATTGTATGCGAATATAATGGATTTTATTTTACATCATTGCTAGCTGATGAATAATTACAATTGAAACAGTTTGTCATCCAAAAAAACTGTACTGTGTTTTTGGATCATTCATGACCACACGGGGACAGGATTGTGACTGTTGAAAGGCTTCTTTGCCTCCTTCAATTCCGATGGACTATATTGTCTAATTTTGTTTGTGCACCAGTGATAGACTTTTATTTTCTGTGATTCTATTACATATTCTCTGTTGAAGAATTGCTACGCTCGGAGCTTCTATTATCGCAGGATTGGGACTGAGGCTTGTTTGCCTCAGTGATATTGATTGACCACCTTCTCTAATTTTGTTCCTGCAATATTGATTTATTTTATTATTTGCAGCTCCACAATATAATAATAATAATAATAATAATAATAATAATAATAATAATAATAATTTGTTATTATTTATACACTGCCCATCTGGCTAAGTTTCCCAAAACACTAAAATACAATAACCTATTAAATATTAAAAGCTTCCCTAAACAGGGCTGCCTTCAGATGTCTTCTAAAAGTCTGGTAGTTATTTTTCTCTTTGACATCTGGTGGGAGGGTGTTCCACAGGGCCGGTGCTGGACCTCAGTGTTCTCTGTTTAAGAACTGCGAAATAATACAGCCTCGGCCCAGTATACCTGAAGGAGCATCTCCACCCCCATCGTTCAGCCCGGACCCTGAGGTCCAGCTCTGAGGACCTTCTGGTGGTTCCCTCCCTGCAAGAAGGGAGGTTACAGGGAACCAGGCAGAGGGCCTTCTCGGTAGTGGCACCCGCCCTGTGGAACGCCCTCCCAGCAGATGTCAAGGCAATAAACAACTATTTTACTTTTAAAAGACAACTGAAGGCAGCCCTGTTAAGGGAGGTTTTTAATGTCTGATGCTGTATTGTTTTTAATATTCGGTTGGAAGCCGCCCAGAGTGGCGGGGTATAAATAATAAATTATTATTATATTACATATATTTTGTTACAACATTATTAGCCACGTTTTGCCCGCTATTGCTTAAAGTTTGTCTGTTTCTGCAACACAGGGGATTTCCTTTGTTACAGGTCTATGCTGATGGGCAGGTGCTTTTTGGGGTCTCTGGCAGGAACCCTCGCAGCGCTACCCAGAGATGCCACTAGGGACTGAACCTTCTGCACGCACGGCAGTTGTTCTGCCACGGAGGTGCATCAAACTGGTAACGGCACGGCAACCTTCTCAAGACAAGTGTGCTGAACCGACTACCTTCCCACCGGTGTAGTGATCAAGTGGGATTGCTATGAGGAATTATAACAAATATAGAGTAAGCCATCTGTGTCAGCAATGAAAGCATTGCGTTGACTGGGTTTAAACTATTTTGATATGATTCTTCATCAATCTACACCTCTGCATCCCTGTTCCATTTCTCTCTCTTCACAAGTCACGTACACACTTAGACAGGCAGGTGTCCTGGGTCCTCAAAGATAATGGGCAGTTTCGTTGATGTAGCTTTCTTATGTATTAATCTTAGGATGTTAATATTAGGGCCAGGAAACAGGTTTCACATTAAGGTGATAATGGTCACTGTCCTCCTGGCCATCCTTCTTATCATGTGTACTAATTGTTTATGACCTCCAGGGTTGCTATATTCGCTCCTTTGTTGTTTTCATTCATTTACTCCAAAGTATGCATGCCTAACTAGCGTTTATAGTTTAACTTTGTCCCCACTTGGGGTTTGTTTAAATGCTCAGAGGAAATCTGATTGGTTCTTACGAGCACTGTGTAAAGGATTCTTTTGCTAATAAAATGGCCTGGTGAGGGGTGTGGGGGACGCACTGTCTCCGAGAGCCTTGCTGGTCAAGGCCTCGTGTCTTGTTTTAATCAGGGTCCGGTCCTTTCCTTTGGCCTGAGAACGCAACACACCGGGCCCCCTGGTCTCTGTTTCTAAAGACACTGGGCCCTGCAGGCTGCCATCAGGAGAAATTGGAACAGACAGCCCCCCAAAAACAGAAGAAAAATGTATCACCTGCAGGTCTGGCTGTGATTTCCTCGCTTGCTTCTCCAAGGCTGGTGCCTCCAGGCTCTTGTTGACCCATTCCCGGGTCAGCTTCGATTTGTCCAGCCCGTTCTCCTTGACCGGCCGCCCAGAGGCCCTGCCGAGGCTCCTGCTTCCCGGGGGCCCGGGGTCGGCCACAGAGCCCCCTGCCCCTCCTCCAGAGCCCGCCTGGGGCTCCCCAGCTCCCAGCTCCCGGCCGTCGGCCGTGTCATGGTAAGGCACCCTTCCGTCGAGGCTCTTCGACCGCTTCCGCTCGTCCAGAGAGAGCCGGTTCCTCCGTGACGGCCGCCCCCGCTGCTGCGCCTTCGCGTCAAACTTGTGGATCAGAGAGTCCACCGAGGACAGGGGCTTGGTGTCGATGTCGCCGGCCGGAGCGGCGGGCTCAGGGGAGTTCGCCACCGCCGGCTTGCGGACGGGTCTCAAGCCGGACAGGCTGCCTGCAGAGTCCTCACTGGGGCTGGGCTGCCGGCGACCAGGCAGGTTCATCATGCTAGCGCTCCTCACAGCACCCCCCGGAGGCAGGGGCCGGGGGGTGTCCGGGGGGCCGGCCCCAGGGGCGCTGGGCTGGGGAGGCTCGTCCAGCTCGGGGTTGAGCAAGGAGCCGTGCGACTGAGTCCGCCGCAGCTGCTCCCCGAACGATTTTTTGTGCGGCAGTGTCCGGTAGCCGCCGGCGCGGTTCTGCGGCACGGGCCGCCCCTCCAAGCTGCCGGCTTTCGGGGTCCGCCACGGGCTGGGCTCCTCGTCCGAGGTGCTGTAGCGGGAGCCGTGCCGGGACTGCCTGACCCCGTACGGGTTCTCCGGCAGGTCGGAATCGGAGCTGAAGGACCCCGAGGCGTCTTTGGAGGACGAAGCAGCCCCGGGGGAAGCGGGGAAGGAGTCCTCCCGCTGGGGGCTGCGGGCGGGGGGCCCGTACTTGCTCTCGCCTTTGATCTGCACCCCGAAGGAGTCTCCCCCTTTCTCGCCGCTGTTGAGGACCACAAAGGGCTGCCCGTCGATGCCCTGCACCCGCACCGCCACCCCGTAGGAGCCCGGCTTGGAGGGCTTGGGGCGGATCTTCTGCGACTTGCTGGGCTCCTTCAAGTCGTTGATGAAGCGGATCTGGACCCCGTAGTCCATGGGGCCCGGCTTCTCGGCTAGGGTGCCGTTCACGTGGTGGTCCATCCTCGGTGCGTCTGGGGCCTTGAAAGGATCCTGCCAAAGGGGGGAGAGAACACAGGCTCAGAATCGTAGATTATAGACCTGGATGGGACCCTGCGAGGCCAACGCCTCTGCAATGCTGGAATAATGCAGGACTTGTTTTTACCTATCGCAACGGCCTGATCCTGCAGGCTTCTGATGTTCTTGTGCTAGCTAACACCTGTGAGCCCCTACATCTTAGGCTCAGGTTATAGTTATAGATACAGATATAGATATAGATATAGATATAGATATAGATATAGATATAGATATAGATATAGATATAGATATAGATATATATGTAAAGGGACCCTGACCATTAAGTCCAGTCGTGGCTGACTCTGGGGTTGCGGCCCTCATCTCACTTTACTGGCCGAGGGAGCCGGCGTACAGCTTCTGGGTCATGTGGCCAGCATGACAAAGCTGCTTCTGGCAAACCAGAGCAGTGCACAGAAATGCTGTTTACCTTCCTGCCAGAGTGGTACCTATTTATCTACTTGCACTTTGATGTGCTTTCGAACTGCTAGGTTGGCAGGAGCAGGGACCGAGCAATGGGAGCTCACCCCGTCGCAGGGATTCAAACCGCCGACCTTCTGATCAGCAAGTCCTAGGCTCTGTGGTTTAACCCACAGGGCCACCCGCGTCCCATATATATATATATACACATACGCAAATACAAGTATCTACATCTTAAAGGCACTGCAGCCTCTGCTGCCCTTCCTTCCAAGGAAGCTGAACCCTGGGAGAGCTCAGATGAGCAGTCACCACCTCTTAGCCCAGCAGTTCTCAACCCGTGGGTCCCCAGATGTTGTTGGACTACAACTCCCATAATGCCTGAGCTCTGGCCTTGCTAGCTAGGGGTGATGGGAGTTGTAGCTCCACAACATCTGGGGACCCGCAGGTTGAGAAAGGCTGTCTTAGCCTAACCTACCTCACAGGGTTGTCGTGAGGGTGAAATGGGGTTTGGACGAGAACCACGTGCAGCACCTTGAGATCACTGGAGCGGCGGTATGTAAATGCAACAGATAAATAAATGAATGAATAGCAAACAATATAAATGCATCAAACATTTTAATGAGGCGGTTGGGGAGGAGATGTCCCAGGAGGGGCCAATCCTGCAAAACAGTGGGGCCAATCCTGCAAAATCCTAGCTCTGTATATAACCACAACTTCAACTCAACAGGATTTTTTAATAATATTGCATTATTAATTTCTGTAACCTGCCCTGAGATCGGTTATGGTGAACAGCAGGAAATCAATCGAAAATAATGTAAATTCTTACAACACCCCTGCAATGTAGGACAGTATTGTCCTCTTATTGTGGATTAGAGGGTGGGTGGGGAGGGAGAGTTCATGGTAGAGGTGAAATTTGAACTCAGAGAGGGGGGTGAGAGAGAGACGCCTTCCTGGGTTTTGAGATTATTTCCTCAGTCGCCATCCTCCTCCGCTTGATCTCCTGCTCTCAAGATTTTTATGAACCTGCCTTCCTTGCGCTAAGTCTGAACACAACTTCACTGAGCTCAGTACTGCCCACACGGACTGGCAGCAGCTCTCCAGGGGCTTCAGGCTGGCAGGCAGCCTCTCCCAGCCCTACCCGGAAATGCCATTGGGGACTGAACCCGGAGCCTTGTGCGCAAGGCAGACGCTCTACCCTTGAGCCTCAAAATAAAAGATCTCCGTCCTCATGGTTCTGAGCCAAAGGCTGGATTTAAACAGGGTCGCCCTGGACCAGTTCTGCCTGCCCAGGCTGGCAGCAGCTCTCCAGGGTTTCAGGCAGGGGATGGTCTCAGCTGGAAATGTCAGAGATTTAACATGGGACCTTCTTGCTGCTGAGCTACAGCCTTGGCCAGAGATTTCAAACCCTGCATTAATTCAGGGATTAGTCCCACTCTCAGCGACCAGCTGCACTTTCACCTCCACACAACACGCCCCGGCCAGCAACTCCCTTTTATGATGGTGGAGCGAGCAGGGAAAAACAAATAAATATGCAAAGCGCTCTTATCGGGTCAAGGCAGAGTGCAGGTTGCAAGCGTTTCAGGTGGAAAAACACACCCGGCTGCCGTCAGAATCTGCCGCCATGCAGGAATGCAAGGAGACCGAGAGCATGGGTGGATAACGCCAGCGGAACTTGGGGACCAGGGTGCAAATCCCAGTACAGAGACTACCTGCAAGGACTCAGTCGTCCATGTCTGTAAAATGGGTGGAAAGTGTGGGAGGCCAGACCACCCACCCTGTGAAATTCTGAAATAAAAACGTAAGAAGATCCTGTATAGGATCAGGCCAAATGCCCTTAAGAACCTAGAAATCTGGATAGACTGCTGCTGGATTTGGAGGCTCCATCAGAATGTCAGAAGAGCCTGGTTGCTGGATCAGGCCAAAGGGGTTCAGGATAGCATCCTGTTCTTGCAGTGGCCAACCAGATGTTCCAACGAGAGCCCTGTCAGAATGACCTCACCGTCAGGCATGCATAAACAACCCAGGATTTTTATTTACACAGCAGGACCATTCAGCGGGTGTCATCCCAGAGTACTTTTTCGCAAAGACAGCATCGCTCCACCTATCCGGCCAAATAATTGCAGGTTGTTGTCCAATTCGCACTTGGCAGACCTGCCTGTCTTGGGTACACCCATCTGCCTTGGTGACCAGCGGGCGTCTCAAGGGGCGGGGAGGATCCATGCCTCTAAATCAAGCTAAGTTTCTAGTCCTCAGGAGCATTTGAGCAGCTTGCCTCACACCCAGGAATGGCTCCAGCCCTTTGGGGGCAAGCTGGGAGCGCATGCGCATGGGTAAGTCGCTCAGGAGCAGAACACGTGCTCTGAAGTAAGGAGGTCCGTGGTTCAACCTCTGCCATGTCCAACAGCGTTCGAAATTAGCCAGGCAACAGGGGCATTTCGCACCTGGCCATCGCCCCCTTGCAATCAAGTGGAGGTGCCAGGATGCCACCTGATGTCTCCACCAACTTGGGTGCCTTTAAAAGAGGATTAGACAAATTTGCGGAGGGTAACCTAGACAGCATCTTAAAAAGCAGAAACATCACCTTGCCGACAAAGGTCCTTATTGTTAAAGCTCTGGTTTTCCCAGTAGTGATGTATGGAAGTGAGAGCTGGACCATAAAGAAGGCTGATTGCCGAAGAATGGATGCTTTTGAATTCTGGTGCTGGAGGAGACTCTGGAGAGTCCCATGGACTGCAAGAAGATCCAACCTCTCCATTCTGAAGGAAATCAGCCCTGAGTGCTCCCTGGAAGGACAGATCCTGAAGCTGAGGCTCCAAGACTTTGGCCACCTCAGGAGAAGAGAAGACTCCCTGGAAAAGACCCTGATGCTGGGAAAGATGGAGGGCACAAGGAGAAGGGGACGACAGAGGACGAGATGGTGGGACAGTGTTCTTGAAGCTACCAGCATGAGTTTGGCCAAACTGCGGGAGGCAGTGGAAGACAGGAGGGCCTGGCGTGCTCTGGTCCAGGGGGTCACGAAGAGGCGGGCACAACTAAACGACTAAACAACAACAAAACAAAACAAGGCTACTGATGGCTTCTCGCCATGATGGCTATGCTTTGCCTCCAGCAATGCCTCTGAAACTACAGGAGGGGAGAGAGGGATCTTACGCTCAGTTGTTGTGGCCTCCCCTTGGGGCATTTGTTTGGCCCTGTGAAAGCAGGATGCTGGGAGAGATTGGGCTTCCTTTGGCCTGATCCAGCAGCCTCTTCCTATGTTCTAAGCATTCCGAGAGTCAGAGAAACTGTCCAACACAGCTCACAGCTTGAGGAAATCTCTTGCTCGCCGTTTCCCGGAGGAAACTTCCTGCCTCGCACTCTTAGCTCCCCGGCCAGCCGGCACACTCCCTTTTTGCTCAGCCGAACGAAGCCGCTACCTTTAAACCAGAAATGGATTTCAAAGGGTGCTGGGAGCCTGCAAGGGAGAGGGGGCTTGCGAGGTTTATCAGGGAAGCCGGGAACAATACAGGCGATTGTTTTCGCGAGAGTCTCACTCAGAAACTGGCTCCTTTCAACTCCATCAGAGCATCGCCCGATCGGGGACCGTCAAGAGCATCAATTAAAAAAACCCAAAACAACAATAACGCAGTGTCAGCGGGAAATGGACCGGCAGAACCTCGCGAGCAGAGAAGCTGGGGAAGCGGCGGGAAGGGGTACCATTGTGTCCATCGCTCGCTGCAGGGCTGCCAACGTTGTGTCCATCACCCGCTGCCAGGCTGCCGAGCCGAATGGGAAGGCGGAAAAACAAAAGGGTCCTGCTCTCCAACCCACCCACCTTGCTTTCTGCAGCTTGCCAGATTACTGCTGCATACTCACTGCGACTGGAGCAATCCGAAAAGAGGAGGGGGTTATAAGTGCATCCAGAAAGGGACAGGGGGGTGTGCAGAAGAGAAGAGAAATAAACAAATAAAAAAAAGTTTGACGCAGCTAAAGAGGCAGCCAGCGTCCTCCGTGGCCGAACGCCGTGGGAACCTGGCCGGCCCGCAGACCCGCTCGCGTCCGGGTGGCGGCGAGACCTGACATTTTGAGCGCAGTGCAATGCGGTGGCAGTTTAGCGGCGCCGGTGGCACGTGGCGGCGTGGCTGGGCTGCATCGTGGCATCGGTTCCACGGCAGGTGGGGAGCAGGGAGAGGGAGAGCCAAACGGCCCCGCTTCCCCCCCGCCGGCCAGTTCCTTCCTTGCCGCAGGCTCCGCAGATCAGGCAAGCTTCCCGGCCAGCCGTGGGGAGGAGAGCGGCTGGCTGGCTGGCCGGCCGGCTGGGGGAGAGCGATGTCCTTGAGCCAACGGTCAGCCGGAACACTTATCTCGCCTGCTTTCTCCCCTCCGCTGTCCTGCCTGCTCCTGGACGCAGGCTTCCAAAGAGAGCCAGGAAAACAAGCACAAAGGGGGTCTTCTTCCTTCTACAGGCAGGGGCGAAGGGCATCAGAAACAGCCTGGGCAAGATGGGGGTGTTCTGGGTGGTGGAAGGCAGGCAAGCGAATGGAGCTGGC